CCTCGAACCTACAGGTGAACAAAACCTACAGGTTACATTTCACAGAATGAAGCTTTCTACTCAAAAAAGTTTGTTTGTTTGGATCCGCAAAAATGGCAACTTCCTCTAAGATCAACCCGCATCTTGGTCTTACAGGAGTCTGTAAGCTCAATAAAGAATCCTAGATTTTGTGAACGTTACTTATTATGTCTGGATACTTCAGCATAAACTTATATATCATGTGTCTCACAAAAAAGACACATAAGTGAACTGTTAATTCCAGAAAGTACAAGGTTACGAGTTGGCTCATGAAAATACTGCTTCCTGAAACTAGCCTGTCAATTAATGGGCTGCGCTCCTTTAGTTCATCTTTAAGGTTTCATATGAAATGAATAAGTAAAACCATATGCATTGAATATAATGAATTTCTACAAGGGTTTTTATATGTGAGCTGTTTAAATTTATATTTGAAAAAAAGTTTTAAAATATAAATTTCCAAAGTCAAAACTTTGAGACTGATTGAAAGTTAATTATTACAAAGTTTTATGCAACTAATGACTTTAATAAAGTTTTTCAAAAGAAAAAAGTCTTAAGAGCTTTTGGTCAATTTTTGCATGAATAAGCTCACATAAAAAAAAAAAAAGAAAGAAAGACTCAGGGATAGTTATCTCTTATCTCTGTCGCAGAAGTGACATTGTTAACTCAACCCCCTGAACACACACACACACACACACACACACTGTCACATACAGTGCTTGTTGTAAGTGGATAACGAGGACGATACCTGAGGTGCTGAAATAATTGAAGCTGTTTGATGTCACATCAAATACCCTTCACACACATACACACAGTTTGACATGCACTGCAACACACTCATGATAACCTTTCTCTGTAATTATGATGAACATTAAAACACACACAAACCAGCAGGACCACATCAGCTGTGCGGGATACGAATGATCTGCGCTACTTTCCAGGGACATCCAGCAGACAGATGTAGTAAGGCCTGGCAGGGCGGCATGACAATATGTGCCTATGTTTTCATGAAATTAGAGACTTTACAAGAGTGGTAGGTCCATGTTTTAACTTACACCTTTGAACTGAGTAGCTGGGAAGCAAGCGTACATAATTGCTGCAGCTGTCTGGAATCTAATTTAAAACTCAAATGACTCACAAATTACAGCATATTTGAATCCAACAAATATGGATTAAAAATGATGAAAACTGGATTGAATGTAGATGAAGCCAATTCTCAGCTAAAATTATAGCCATGTTTGTTTGTTGTCTCTCAGGTGTCTGTTATTTTGTTCATTGATGAACCTACTTTTCCCCCAAATGTTCTCCAAATCTTCCTTCCAATTTTTCAAAACAAACTCTCTTCTGATTGTGTTTTTTTTGGATAAAACAAACATCTTCAGGTCTCCTGGACATGCAGATTAATATATTTTGGCAACCAGGTGGGAGCAATCAGAATGGCTAACAGCAGTGCAGCTGACCTGCTGCTCTGTGCATTTAGGAAAAGTAATCTTTTTTGACGTTTTACCATAATATTGAAAGTGGCGTAGCTTTTCAGCATAACTTCTGATGTTTTTTTTTTTTAAATACTTAGAAAGGGTTTAAATATCAATATAACCAGTCATTAAGAAGATTTAGAATAATTACAAAAATGAGAAACAGCAGAAGGGAGAAGGATCAAAGCAGTTATCATTTTTTCTCTATTAAAATTCCCATGAAGTAACAAGCTGATGGCTCAAATTGCAAAGTAGCGATGCCAACTATACCCACTGAAGAAAAGCAGCCAAGCATCACGTTAAGCACCTGGAAGGAATAGTTCAATTTGGAAGAAATTTGTCCAACATTCAGACCAGTAATGGGGATGTAAATTATTCGATTTGCAAAAAGCTGAGTTGATAAAAAATAAATGACAAGAATGTGGGCTGGCATGCCATGTTGTATAATTACCTCAGAAATGGGACATTATAAAATTAAGCAAGGTGGCACAATGTTTGCAGGTGAACCCATTGATCCCCACACTCTACCACTATTTTAGGACAATGTAACCATAAGACCCCAAAACCAAAATGGAAAACAGCTTCATGAAAATGTCAATTTCTTTTTCCAGCATGACTTAGTGCCACTTTACACTTTATTTTAATGTGATTCATTGACCAGTAGATCAATCTAATCTATATCCCCTAGAAAAATATATGTCTGATTTTTAAAATAGACAAGACCAATTATGGAGACAAAGGAAGGCTGCCATTAAAGTACCTTTGTCTTCATTAACATTTCAGCAGAGCTATAGGCTAATCACCTTTTAGCCATTCAGTAATCCATGCAAAATAACCTCAGAGAAAGTACAGATTGCATATATAAAACAGTACATGGGTTCGTTTTCAACAGGCTGATATTTAATCACAAATCATTTTGCTTGGTTTTAGGCAATGCTCTAATTTTCTGAGAAAAGAAAATGTTTACAGTATCAAAAACGTTTGATTCTGTGGAGACTCAAACTGAAATAAACCTTTAAAAATCACCAAGCCAACATTTTAATTTGAGGTTAAAATTGTGAAGTTGGGCAAATTAAATTGTGATGCTTGATACTTTTGCATGCTGTGAAGTGACTAAAAAGCAATCACATAAAATTCGTTACAGGAGGACTACATTAAAGAATGCCAGTGACCTCCTCACCACCTCTTCCTGCAGTGTGAGCAAACTGCAGTGGATCCAATTCTGTTTGAATTGCACTAAAAATGAGCACTACAATCATTGAGGAATTTCAGTACTTTAATCTTGGACACAAGGAGAGTCACTGAAACCTGCAGCAGACAAGTAACCTCATGGAATTGAAGGAACTTTACAGAGATGAAGGACTTTTTCTTCCCTTCTTCACTCCCCAGCAGAGTGGAGAAGCCTGTTTCTTTTCAACATGGTACCTGATTCTCACAAAGTAAAAAAGAAAAAGGTTGATGATATGAGAAAAGCTTTTTGCCTGAGGTAAGCTACTCAATTTCATTCAGACGTGAATGAGAGGGAAGAAAGAGGGGGAGTTTAAATGTGTTCAGACTAACAGCGTAGCACATGCTGTGATCATATATGGAGGCAGAGAGGGAAGAGAGGATGTGGCTCTTTATGTATTCACAGAATGCTGAAAGTGACCTTTGAGTACGGAGGATTTAAACCCTTATGTAGTTTTACTGACAACTACTCAAAGTTACATAAAGTTCTCATTCATCCTACCTTACTACAATAACACAGATATTATTCTACTAAAAATACCCAAAGTAAGTTTAGGTAACTACTAAACTTACTTAGGATGTAGGCTTGATATCATCCAACATCCAAATATTGTGTTCGATAACATTGTAAGGTCATTCAAGAGGTCACCAAATAACCAAAGACAACATCTACATCAAATTACATTCCTTTATTAAACACGTTTGTTGACTTAGTTTAATATAAATTTTAAAGATGCAGATAATTGTGACTTTGTGTCTTCCGTCTTTGAACAGTACAGAATCTAAACTCCTTATATATCAGACTATCTAGAAAATCTAACACATTATTCTGTTAATGTTCGGGCAACTGCTTTGGTTAGACATCAGTAATGAGCTTTGACTAGGACACTAACTGGAATGAAAAGATGAACACTAAAAATACTGTTGGCATGTTTTCTTTATGATATTGTCACAGATCGAGGAAAACTCAATTTGCAGTTTGCCAACAGCAAAGTTCCTCCTGAGTGAATGAGACAGTTGGATGCAAAACCACAAGACTCAATGACAGTAACATCATTGAATCTACTGCCTATTATGACTTCTAATGATGTTGAAACAATCTCTTTTCACTTCCACTCACCCTAAAGTCTCTAAAGAAGAGTTTAACAGCATGGCTGGCAAGAACATTTATTGGACCATTACAAATAAAGTGCACTATAAAGGAGTTATGTTACCATTGCAGAAACTTAAAGCATATGTCTGACTTCTTCGGTGCATCAGGCCTAAATTGCTCAGAAATGGCTCCATAACATATTCTGCTCTAATACAGAGTCTGTATGCAAATATAAGTGTACACTTACCAACCAAATTTATGACTCCTGATGAAGTTATTAACCTACTGAAATTAATTATGTTCTATAATGAGAGGGAAGAGGAAAATGAGGGAAACTTGCATATTGTAATAACTAAATTTATTCTGGAGCTCTGCAAATGCTATGATGTTAAACACCATTATAATGGATTCATAACAATTGTCATGAGAATCAGTGTTGTTTTGGTGCAAGGATAAAAATGTGAAGAAATAATTCAGGAATCTAAGATTCTAGTGCTTTAGCCAGTATTAACCCTCTTGTTATTTATATTTTGGAAAATAACAGAATATTATCCACTTAGAAAACATTTAGCCTTTTCTTTAGGAGGAAACCTTCTTTGCCACTTTGTCATCACTTCCAGCAAGGCTGACTGCTGAGTACTATACCCAAGCCATGAAATCCCTTTTGTGGTTGCTAGACCATCAAAGGTTTTGTTTTAGTTGTGTAGAAAATACAACATCAAGTAAAAGCCTTTCTGAGACAGTTTTGAACAAACTCTGGTTGAGATATCTCCACAAATGAAGTTCTGAGTCTACACCTCCCATGTCCCAGCAAGTCACCAAAAAAAAAAAAATAAAAAATGAGCAGAACTTGAACTTTGTTGTCTTAAGATTAACATCGCAATTATGTTTGCTGGAATGGCCTTTGATGAAAACATAAACCAGAGAGATTAACTAAACCAATTAAGACTCCAAGCCATTTGCTTTAGGTTAGCATTAATAAATCTACGGATGACTTTTAATCTAGTTCCAGAGTCAACATATTGTTGTTGACTAACTTTGTGGTGATTGATTTGGTTGATTAGATTGATTTGGTTCTTCTCTTTTTTAAGTATTGGAGCATAGTTTCAAAAAACTCTTCTTAACTTCTGTATTTATAGGTTGTGTGATAATTTTGTGGGATTAAACACAACTTGAAGTTGATATTGTAGTTTCCAGAATTTGTCTTTTTATTCACCTTTGAAAACATAAAAGTAAAGCACATTTTAATAAAATCTCTCACAGAGAAACAACAGAAACATGGGGTTTTGCCCACATTAATACAAAAATAAACTTTATAAATGAATTTAAAAAAGAACATATGTAACATACATTCAAGCAATTTCATCCTGCACAACACAAAATTTGTATTAAATGTACACGTCAATAGTTGCTTATAAGATTTCACTCAGTCCTGACTAAACTACCAGTGAAAAATAGAACGCACATCATTCAGTGTGACCATGATAAAATGTTAACAGAACTGGAAATTCATGTAGTAGAAAACTGACTTTAGAGAAGAAGAGAATAAGGATTCAAATTTGGTATCCGGAATTGCTTAAATGATTGTTTTGGCTTTGTAACAAGATCAAGTTCTTCCTTGTGTTTAAAATTCATGGCAACGTCTATATCAAGAAGTTAGAAGCCTGTAGAGTTTTATTCAGCTGTTCAGTACAATAAAAATAAGCCGGAGGGGTCAGTTAATTTTAATACATGCAATTTGATTAGCCTAACATTTTACAAAGAAGAAATTGCCCAAGAATCCATCAGATTACCCTTGTTGAATCACAAATTTGGAAACAACGTGAGATTTCAGTTAAAGCTCCGAAAAACTGGTGAGTTATTGTGCACAGACTTGATAGAATCAGCTCTAAGATTGAATAACTTCTTCTTTTATGTGCGTATATTCTTAAAACGTACTGCCTACTTGTATGTTATGCAAGAAGCTTTCCTTTGTGAATAAACAATAGCAGTTAGCTGTGCGTCTTTATTACACTTCATGAAGAGAGTTCTTCCGAATAATAGTGACTCACAGTTATTGTCTCAAACTGGACAATAACTGTGAGTCACTTACAATAGAGTCGTTTTTAGCTAAGGAGAACATTTTATTTGTTCAGAGTCACTGAAATGACTTCAAATTTGTATTTTTTGGAAAGGCTATAACTTTTTAAAAATATGTAAATCTTTTTAACAAACTCCAAGATTGTGTATCTTGGAGATTGGAGATTTTAATTTTAGAACAATCAGTTTATGTTATTGCAATGTAGATGAAATATTAAATGTTGCAATTAAAAAAAAGAAAAAGAAAAAATACTGTTTGCTGCTTGTAACATTAACATATCTACTTAAAAAATGTGCTGTATGCAGCAAAAGTAGTTTTTGACCGAAACAGGAATTTTAGTAATCAGAGCGTTGTATTTTCCAACATTAAAAATGGCTGAACAGGCGTTTCTTTGCTGCTGCGAAACTTCCACATTAAGTGTTCCTGTAACATCAAGGGTAGAAACATTGCTGAGCAGTGGCTAATCCTAAACTTTGAACCAAAATCCATTCTGCACTCATTAAAATCCAGGAGGAATTGTTCATAGACACTAAAGCTACTGAATTGTCCCAATACTGAGGACAGTGTAACACATTTAGAAATACGACATCACAAATAACATCACCAAATCACTCGTTTAAATGAGGATCCAGCCCCCATCAGAGAAGATGTGAACAAACAAATAGTGAAATGCTTATCCTGCATTTCAAGTTCTGAATGTCTTGTTTAACACATTTAAAGTAATTTTATTTGTATCCTTACAATTGGGAAATGACCAGAAGCATAAATTCACCTATGACTGAAGTGTCACATGATTTACTTGTTCAGTGCAAGACAGGGAGCAGGCATTAACGAATCAGTTTTGTACAGAGTGGCTGTGTTATCAGAAATGTGATGAAATGCTTGATATTTAACTACACATTTTTTCAAGCAGTCTCTCCTGCTGTTTAAAAAAAGTAATACTTTGTCTCCTTTTTATTTCCAAAGAGTGCAGGATCAAGTCAGTAACACTGTTCATATTTTCTAGGGATGGCGCTCAGCAGTTTTTCTTGAATTAAAAGATGAACCTCTGCTGAACTACTTCCAAAGACGTAATTGAGCAGCTTTGGACAACCTCGGTCCAGATCGACAACATTGCTTGTTGAAGTCAAATGAATCAGAGACATCTGAACTGACATTTGCAGTCTTTCTTTGATATCCATCAGGGTGGAAAGAAAAGAAGATTGGATTGAGGAATCAGAGCTCAACTGCAGTAGACCCCCAACCAAGATGTGTACTTGTACACAAAGCTGCCTTAATGTGAAGTGTGATAGTAGTTCATGTGTGAAGCAATATACTCTTCAGAAACGATAGAGATCTCTTTGTGAAATGATACATTTTGTCCTAAAACATTACTTCTTCACAGCTTCCATAATCACTCTCCACCATACTCAACCCATCGTAGCCGCGCTGGTTTTGACCCGCGGGTCGTGTTTGAGGCTGGGCGGGGTTTGGACCCGGTGGCGAGCTGGACTGTTCAGCGTAGGATGGCATAGCCACACTTAAGCGCATGCTGAGTCTTTTATAGCCTGAAGAGACATTGTCGAGGCTCCGCGTGTGCTGGGTGGGATAGTAGCTGATGGCTGTGTACTCGTTCGGGCATTGAGAGCTGGGAAGAGGAAGACCGTCTTGACCCAAAAAGTCGTCCAAGTTCTGATTGCTGTAACACGGAGGCAGCGGTGCCCGACGATCACAGCGATCCAGTGGGAATGGGAAGCCCCCAAAACGGGAATTTCTTCGAGAATCCACAGTAGAGGTGGAGTAAGTGTCTTCCACAATATCAAACTGGGGGAACTCCCGGACTGTTGGCCGTCCATAATAGTCCGGGTCTGCCGGGTAAACTGGAAGCAAGAGAGAGAAAACATCACAATTTGTCTTGAAACAATCAAACACTATTTGCAACACTTTGTCTTCAGCCCGGAGTAAAAATGTGATACTAGAAACAAAATAAATGTTTTCTGTACAAACAAAATTAACGAAGAGATGCAGAAATATATTATGGTAAATTGTAAATTACTGCTGCCTGTGTTTAAAGCACTCCATAAATATAAAGCTGATACACTTTGAATGATCACTCACTATCATTAATAGATTTGAATTATAAAACGCCTTGTATCATTGCGTGTGGTCCACATAGGTTTGACAAAATTGAGGCTGTGAAAATATGCCTGTTAAATTGTTCAACCACAGTTCCTACGATTGGGTCTGACAGGCAGAACGGGGAGAGGGAATGTATCCAAAGAAGACTCAGCATGAAGTCCCCACATTTTACTGAAAGGCAGGCTGAACAAAAAACCTTCTAAGAAAAGCACCTGGAGAATCCTTCTCATCTTCTTTTAATATTACAGTTCAGCTGGAAACCTCGGCATAGACACCTTCAGCTTTTCATATGAATTTGTGTCTTTTTTGATGTGGACAAGCTTTACAGAAGTCACTGCAGACCAAGTCCGTCACCGGGAGCAGCATATTTTGGGATAAAGAAAAGTTTCAGCGCGCTCCTTCAGAATATACTGCCAACAGCAGAAGTTCAAAATTGTTTTTTTAAAATAAGAAAAGAGAAAGCTGTGCTTGAATCATGCTTTAGTTATTTCCATTAAATAACCTCTTATAACAGATATCGATATTTTCCTCAAATTGAAATTGGGTTTAGGTTTCCAAGTTTTTATTGTTATACTGTTAATATGTATAAATCTTATGTTTTCAATAACTGCTGTTGCAGTTCTTTTTTTTTTTGTACCTGAAAACAATTAAAAAAGCAATTCTGGCTGACCAGCTGCAGGCTCCAGGCTGAGCTGTGGAACCTCTACTGGTCTGATGTCATTTAGATTTTCAAATGGTAATTTTGTTTTTTGAAGGTTTGCGGCTTGGATTCAAAATGCTTAAGATAATTCAATTCTATTTTCTGCAAGAACTAAAATAACAAATGTAGCCGTAGCTTGGTTTTTAGAGAATAATTTAATCTCTTCTTCATTAAATAAATCAAACCATTTGTGTTTACATTATTACCATAAAACATTTAGGAAAAGAAAAATTGGAAATCTCATATGTCAATGAACTCGAATCGATCCACCATTTTATTTTATTGTGTCATGATTTATTTTATTTATTTACAGATTTTTATTCCCTGAATGAATTTGTTCAAATCCAGATAATTAAAGTTAAAATGTGATTTCTTGCCAAACTGCTGGTCTGTATAAATGTTTAAAACAAACTACTACACACCTTCGTAGTCCATGTCCCAGTGGCCCTTCCGGATGGAGTCATTGTCGGAGCTTGACGGCGGCCTAACAGGAAGGTTGGGGGCCACGCTGCACACAACCGGCCTCTGTGCCTTCGGGGATCCACCTCCTGCTGAACCAATTTGGCTGTGAGGCCTCAGGGATCTGAATGGTGTGTGGTGATCCAGGTTGTTGGTGGATTTGACCAGTGAGTTCATCTCAGTGGAGTTGACATCTTGGCTTTCTGCCTTCAGGCTCTTAGCCAGACTGGGCTGGAAGTACCTGTTGGGATCAGCAAAGGTGGTTTTAGTGAAGTTTGACACTGAAGGCAAGTAGTTCTGTGATGATGATTGAACATGTATTTGTTTGATGCTGGTCAAGTTTTCACTTGATGATCTTTTTATTTTTATGATTTAGTTTCTCTTTCCTGGGAAAAAGTGGAATGATTCTTACCTAAAAGTTCAGTAATGTGATTCAAAAAGTGAAACTCTTCAATTATAAGTAATACATTTTGAAATTTCTGTTTGATACTTTAATCATGGTTTACATCGTCCAAAAATCAAAACAGTTATTTTCTCAAACAATTACTGTATAGTATTTGCACTAAATTTGTTGGGTTGCTTTGCCAGGAATTGGCAAGAAATCAGCTTGTGGCACCACTTCCCTAAAGCACTTGAATGAGTTTTTCATAACAACCATATCATTGATGTGCTTCTTTTCATGCCCATCTTTTTTCCTTCCACTAAACATTCCATAAATGTGCTTGGATATAAAGGTCTGCAAGTGTCCACCTGGTTATTTAGCAATAACTGTTTGTAGATTGTGTTCCAAATGAAGTTGTCAATAATGTCTACTGGACAATGTCAAGTTTGTAGTTTTCTCCATAATTATGTATCCCACAACATAAACTTCCTGGTAACAGGCATAAGTAAAATTTGTATTTATTTTCAGAAAAACTGAACTCTGGATTTCGCTATGAGTCCTAAAAATCAAAAGTGACAAAAAACCCCAAGAACAAAAACAAACAAACAAGAAAACATCTGGGATATATCACAGAGCAATGAATCAGTTTAACTTTGAATAACTGAAACGGCTTTCTGATCAAATTTATAGTAAATCACTTAAGCGTGTGTAATAGGAAATAAAACCACACCTTTTTAAGGAAAAAAAAAATCCTCACCCATTTGAGTCCTGGACACAAACAGGCTTTCTCTTCTTCTTTTGAACATAACGTTTCCTGATGCAAACAAAGACTCCGACCAGAAAGACGATTCCCAGCACAGCGGCACAAATCTGTATGATTTCCAAGTAGCCAATTTCTTGAGATACCTGACACAGAATGGGAAAGGATGAGTCAGACTTACAGTGGAGGAGAAATTACAATAATTGGTATAATAATTGTACCAACTATAATTGGTACCACTATCATGTAAAGGTTCCATAAACTGACCACTGGCAGCGGGGCGCAGTAGATCAAACCATCGGTGACTTTACAGTCATAAGCTCCTGGACAGGAATTAGGCTGGCAGCCCTCAATCTCGTTGTGGCATCTAAAACATGAAAAGAACATAGTTTAATAATAATAATAAAACAGAGAGATACAAGCAATATAATATAGCTAACCCTGTTCTATGTTTTGAAATTGCATTATAAAATATAGTTAAAAACATAGGGCGCAAGTTAATGGACCAAAAATTGTTTTAATTTGTTAGTTTGCTAATAAGAAATAGCCCAAAGGCTGTTTTTAAATGAGGAATGATTTATTTAGAATTAAACACTTAAAAAAATCCCTTGATAATAACACTCTTGTATTTTGCAAGCTTTCTGGCCAAAAACCAAGTCTTTTCTCTTTAAACTGTTCAAATATTTTAATTAAATCCAACAGCCAGGAGCCAGTGTGACTCTGAACAAGAATGCAAAAGCAACACTGGCACCTTGGCCAGGGAGTAAAGGTTATACTTGGCTAATGACACTAAAAGCTTTACTGCAGCCCTTCATCTTCCTGGTCCAGGCAAGAAATACACCCCAAGGACTGTCAGCGCTCTGACTGCTGAGTGTTACCGCCTTACTACATAAACCTTTCATTTTATTTTAAATATAACAGCCTACTGCATGGTCTAACACACACATTTCCCAGATGCTAAATATACTTGATGTGATACAGTTAAATCTTTTTAAGGAACTCTTTAATTTAGTTAAATAAAAAGAAAACATTTATTCAGTTTATCGGAAGAGAATTTGGTTTGTAAATTGGGCTCTTGACACAGATAAAAGCTAGGATTTTTGTCCCTTCTGACCTTACATGAATGGACATCTGTTATCTGTAATTTACCTTCATGTGCTGCTGTGCACTTAACTGAGTGTCTTTTACTATGACATGTACTGGTGTGATTAAAACATCTTCACAGTCACAAAAAACCCTCCCAAATCCTGCAATTACAACCCACAGTCATTTTTCACTCGTTCAGTCGAAACGCTACCTGCAATGTGGATTGCTCTCAGTGAGGAGCAAAGCAATTCCACAGATGGACTTAATGAAAGACAGAATATGCAAATGCCTCAGTAATTTTGTTTGACGTCTGCTGGTGATGTGAAAGGAATGCAAGTTTCCAGTGATGAGTGCATGCTGTTTGTGTAGAGTGTGTTTGTTCATCAAAATTTGGAAGTCCAATTGAATACACATATAAATTCATGGCCGTGTGCGTCATTTCTCGAAAGACAAACTTTGAAGCTGTTCTTTTTTCTACTTCATTATTTTCATGGCCTTGCAGGATCCGTACGATTACCTCCGAGTATCTAATTATAATTTTGTGTGTGATTGCTCTCCTACTACAATTCATCTTGGAGTGATGGGATTGGTGGTAATTGATTTTATTATTTCAGCTTGTCTTGTTAATTTGTTGAGCTGAAACTATTTGTAAATGTTTTACAATGGATAGATTAAAGCAAGGTCTTCTTGGTGTGCTTTAATCTTAATCTCCTCCCAAGAGGTTGCAAACATAATCATGTCTTAGTAATGATTAGTGGAGATTGACCGATTGGCTTGTACTCAAAAACATCTTCCAGCCCTCATGTAAAATCTAAAGCAATGTTTTCAAATAGAAAAATAAAATGTGACAAGTGTCTACCTTGCTTCAGTGTTGTCCAGGGAGCAGTTACATATGTAACCCGGAGCCTTTGGTATGCATACCCTGCCGTTGGTACATGGCTGCGAAATGCAGGGGTTGACAGCCAGTTCACAGCGGTCGCCGTGGAAAATTCCTGCACACGTGCAGTGGGGCTCTGCAGAATAAATAAAATGCACTTAGACAACTGAGACAAGAGCGACTGATCAAAGCCACATTGAGCGTCCCCAACAGGCAGGAATTAATCACAGCAAAGGTCAACGTGATCCAGCCTGATAACACAGAAGTGTGTTTGATATTTACAAGGGAAAACACAGTCGTCAAAGTAAGTCGTTGGTCATTATCACTGGTAGAGGTCTAAATGTTGTCAATTACAAATATTCATAGTAATAAAAATATTATGAAGTATTTTTTATATATATGAAGAATTAACAAAAATAGAGAAAAACTGCAAAGACAATGTTTAATGCTTTGAAACTTGTATAAGTTAGGTAAACCAAAAGAAACATTAAACACAGAATTATAAACTAAATTCAACATGAAATTTTATGAAAATCCAGTGTCACAACAGAAACTTCAGGAACCAAAAATACTGACTGAAGTAAAAATGGTAACAAAACTTAAATAACTTAGCTGGATTTTATCACTCAAAAGCCAAACTAATGAATCAAATCTCTCTTTGCGGAAGACATTTTCCCTGAAAAAAAAAACAGTTTAAATTGTGATATAGAAAATGTTATGTTGCTGTCTTTTCACAGTTTCTTTTGTGGTGATGTGACAATCCACTATATTAAAACTATTCTGTCTTATCAGTGTACACCAATGTTATATCAATGTCGGATCATTACTTTATGTAATATCAATATCGCAAAAGACTGCATGGAATTCAATAATTGTTGACTATACCTGCTACTATTACTTTATATTACGATATTACCTGTCGTCATCAATGTAATATTTAACAATGCTGAAATGATTTCCTAACATTATTCTCATCTATTCTGGACTTTTCTCAGTAATCTTTGCATGAGCAGTGAGGCACTGTATGGACAGGTCACCAGATTTTCTGGAGACCTTACTGTCTCCAGAAAAGACAGTAAGCTCTATAAGCTTCAAAATGATAAAATGGCAGGTAATGGCGATCATACAGTTAGTTGTATGATCGCCATTACCTGCCATTTTATCATTTTGAAGAGTTTAGCAGCCACTTGGTAACTTGTGTTGTTTCCTTAACCATGACCTAAAAAAGCCTGAAGTAGGAAAACATTGACAATAACCTAATCTGTATTTTATTTTATTTTGTTTTATGCTAAGTAAGCTGCAGTAAAACAAAAAAACCTTGAATTCTGCGTTGTGTTTAACATCTGTGTGATGGCATTGCCCTTACCGTGAGGCATCTTTAGGGAAATAAACACAGCTTAAGATAGTTGTTTCTTACTGCTGCTCTGCTTTTTGTAACTGAAGCATGACTAAAAGATGAGTTGACACGATGACGAATAAAATTATGAGAAAACAGTAACCATTCATCCAGTGTCCACAGAGGCCATTTGCAAATTGTAAAAGAAAAAAATAAAACTAAATGTATTTATGAGGCTTTAAAAGTAATCTATGCAAATAAATATTGTGGATGGAAGACTGTTGGTAAAAGCTGTACAGAGTTGTTGTTTTCTAAAGCAAAGAAACATGCATCAGTAGCCATCTTATGTTCTGTCTCATATCTAATAAGCTTTATACGAAAAATTAGATGCAATGTCACAGTTTCACAGTGAAGCTCATCGGAATAATTTTTAAAAGATCCTTTTATGTTAAGTTCACTTGTGTTTCTCAGATGCTGTTTGTTTGGGTAAAGAATAAATCAAACAGCTAGAAACAACCCGTCAGAAATGCAACCTTTCAGAGACTGAATTTGAGTACGATCTACCTAATCAGTAATAAGATATTACTAAAAAGATATGTTGGATAGCACACAACATTGCAATACGTTGGTGTAGTCTTTTACACTGATAGAACAATGTTTCTGACTGTGTGAAGATCCATGCTCTTTCCAGCCTGTTGACACTGCACAGCTGCTAAACTACAGAATCACATCTGCACCTGTGCTGGAAGAGCCAGGGTTTAACATTCATCTTAAAATGAACATGAAATCTTTAGGAAAGAAACAACTTAACTGCTCTGAACACAACCGTCTAATGTCTTCCAAAAGGACTACAAAGTTCACACAATTGCTTGAAAAGAATGGTGTACTTTTTGTACACCATAACTTATTTTGACAACACAGACCTGAGGGAAGACTTGGCGGTTTAATAATTTACATGAATGCAGCCAAGTCAATTGCTCACAGTTGACTTGTAGATTATAGGGCTATGCATTACATTGTCCTTTGTAGTACAATTTTGGTTTTTTTTATATGATACATAACCCTTTTACATTTTTCAAGACACATCTAATAGGCTTCATAAATAAAGAACATTAAAAGTTAAAAAAGTTTGAAGCATAAAACTTCTCTGCAGAAACACATAAATCTGTGTTTTGTAGTTATTTTGTTTCCTGCTCATTTGTTGACGCTCCTGGAACAACACATAGAGTTGCAAGACAAACTTCTTTGGTTGCTATTTTCAATGTTAATATAAGGCAAAGCAAAGTTAAGCTGAGTAAAATCATAAAGCACTTTCCAATAATGATTTAATTTATCAAGAAAAAAAACAACATAAAAATCTCTCTTATCTCAGTTAAAATTAGTTTTTGCAAATCAAAAATAAAACATCTGAACAATCTGTAAAGGTCTAATTCTTTTAATAGCACTATACAAATCAGCCTTTCATGTGACTGTTTAGCATCTCTAACTTGTTAAAGCAAAACCATTTAATGGCTGTTGGATTGTGTTCCACAGTAATTGACTTCACATTACGCACAAGGCCTTAAAAAACCAGAAAAATATGCAGCAAATGACCTGAAAATTATTCAAAATTAGGGAGCTCTTTGATCAATAACTTAATAAGATGGGGATAATTTACACTTTTTGTTTACAGCCTTATTGTAGCACAGGACTTGTACCTGTCCTTGGACTGACATCTTTATTTAGTTTCATATTAAATTACCTTAGCAACTACTTTTCAGACTCCTGTTCTTCCAACCCAGAAAAGGAATTAGACCAGATATTTACTATTAAAGGGATTTTAAGGAAAGCCAGGCTCATTTACTCACCTCCAGCAGCATTCTCCTGGCAGACGCCTCCATTCTTACATGGTTCGTTGTCACAACCTCCTGCATTGTTGCAGCACTGATACACCCCGTACACCCTCCTGCTTCCTGATCCTGTCAACTGTGCTGGATCACCCACTACAATTGGCTCCTCGTTGAGCTCCAGGCCCTCCAGACAGCCAGTGAAATGATGCAGGTCCAGGCTCAAATCTTGAGCGGAGTCCTGAGGTAGAGGAGCAAACAGTAAAGCGCCATGGGAGTGCATCATTCGGCACGGCTCTGCCAGGCTGATGGAAGCTGGGTGCTGCTGGTCCAGAGTCAGTTTCAGGGAGCTGGAGTTGACCTCCTGCAGGACGCTGTGCCAGCGGCCGTCCGACACCGGATGGGATCTGACCAGCAGTGTGCTGGGGGATTTGTTTCCACATCTGTATCTGAAGTGGAGTTCCCCTTTGGTCAGCTAGGGAAGTGAAACAAAAACAAAAAACAAATAGGATAATTGAAATTCAGGCTTCAGAAATTCATAAAATTAAATAAAGAATAAAAAAACATGCAAATCAGAGTTTCAGGCACAGCGTGATTATGAATGACTGCTAATTTTCTGTTGTTTAATGATGCGTTAAATGTAACAACTGTTAGTTCCAACTTTGGTGGGAAAAGATCACACACTGTCAACACATTGTCTGTCCAATATAAGAAGTCAAACATATACGGGATAAACAACCAGGACGTTCTTACTGCCAGGAAACAATGCTACTGACAATGCTAAAAACATCTACCTACTTATAATTATGTAACATCTGTAAATAATAAAAAAATGAAACACTTAAACAATGTTTTTTTATGTTTACCCAACTTTAGAAGACTTTCTAGTTTTCAGGTGCAATTTGGGGAATCTCTTAAAAAACACCTAGTCAGTGACTCATGTTTCTGTTGTTTCTGAGTAAATAGTCTTTAGTGTTACAAAAATAATCTTTTGCTGATGCACTGCTCAACTCCCCTCTATTTGACACACTCCACCTAGAGTCAAACAAATACGCTCAGCATTTTATCTCCATAAACCATAGCCTCTTAGTGTTTCTGCACGCTCAGCACGCTCAAGAAATAACAAGCCAGCAGCTTTTTCCACCTCCTTTAATCTGGTCATGTTTTCTTTATGCAACAGAATCCTTTTTCATATCTTCTTTATTAAATATACAAAAGTGGGTATTTGAAAAATGCTATCAAACACGAGTGAATGATACATTATTGACACCAATGCAACTGACTCTCAAAACATTAATTTTTCCAATATCTGCTTTTTTTTGGAGATCTTTCTCAGACCTTCATGCAGAGTGATGCTATTTTGCCTTCAGTGAACAAAATAAAGTTTGTTTCATATCCAAAAAAGGTAATAAATGTCCTGAGCTGAATCTGCAGAATCTCTCATATGGATGAATGAGGAGGAAAATGAGGATCACTCTTTCTTTAGCTAACCAAAGGAAGATGCTCTGACTGAGGAGCAACTTAAACATGTGTGAGTTCCCGTTTAATCTGTTGCATCAAGCTTAGTACAACTTATTCATAACGAATGATTAAATAGAGAGAGCACAGTTTGATGCATCAGGAATCTCACTATATCAGAAGAACCCACTTAACATGTGAAGCCTATAAAGCCTAACTCTACTGGGACTAAAGTTCTCCAGCTCTCCATATTTTTATTCTGTGACTTCATAAATCACAGTCACAAATGCTGCAAGAATCCTGCAAGCTGCTTTAATGCTGCAGGGCAAAATTTACTAGGCCGGCACAGCAGAAACGCTTATGTTTTCAGAATTACGTTTATGCGCACAAGCAAAGGTACAGAGTTTACTACAGACTTTAATTTTTGGACAGTTTTTGCTTTTGTTTTATATTTAAATCAGGTATGCATAATATATCAGCCTTAAGGTCAGTATTGGTCCGATAACTGAAATATCGACAACCAATATTTATTTCTATCTTGTTTCTGTGGGTGGAGGGGAAGCAGCAAGACCACAAACTGACCTGGACCTTCTCTTTTCAGATTTTTTGGAAGAGATCAGAATTATTGTTTATAATAATGCAAACTATCTGGGTTGTCCCATACATCACACTACCACCAACATGTTTGATTACAATCGTAATGTTCTTTCCTTGAAATTCAGTTAGTTTTACATCAGATTTAACAGAACATAAAGGTTCCAGTATCCTTGTCAGTCCCCTCATTAAGAAGGAGCCCATTAAGATGTTTAATCGGTAAATTTAATATGAGCTTTTTTTTAGTTAGTAAGTAGTTTAAGCCTTGAAACTTCACTCACTAGCTGTTTTCATTCTCTTTTTTTTCTTGAATGATGAGCAAATGCTGACCATAACAAAGACAACTGAGGCTTGCAGTGCTTTCCATGATTCTAGTTTTGATAATCAAGTCACTTCTTGAAGTGTCACAAGTGCTTGAGCAAGAAACTCTTCCTGCTCACTCGTCAACATAAACGCCTGAAATAAAACAAGTCAGCTTGTATAACTGCAGTGAGTGAGTGTTGGTCCACTGATTCCACATCAGCACATATCCACCGCCTTGTTCACTGTCGAATGTGCTAACTGCTCTGCTGTCAGCTCTAAAGTGACAAGTCACCTTCACTTGTTCTTCACCGTTTACTGCTGCCGCTTTCGATTGAAGCTGCCGCAGTTTTCCTTTCAAAGGTGCCAAATTACTCTGGAGTAAACTGTGGGATTAAATAAAATAATTCACCAATAGTGAAATTTAAACTTTAAAGTTAACTTAAACCCACACAATGTAGCTCAAGTCCAAAGTAGCATGAGTTAAAAACTCTGGTTTCTAATGACTTCCAGGAATCAGAAGAAAACATATTCAGCCAGAGAGCCTCAAGAACCCGAGATATATATCGACAATAAAATAATAAGAAAAAAATCTACAAAAGAGAATATCTTAAAAACTTCAGGGACTTTTAAAAAGTATTTAATCCATTTAAAGAAATAAGTCTCTCATTATTCTCCTTCACTGTGCTCGTTTAGTTTTGTACAGAAGACCTTGCACTAGAGCAGAAAAATGAATCGTCCCTTCCCTTGACTGTGCCACAGAAACATGAATAAATCTTGATGACAGTAATGTTTTTATTGGGACTCCCAAAACACAGTTGGTTCTCTCAGTGGGAATTTAAAGCAAAAAGAGGATAAATTGGGCCAATGAGCTACTATACCCGAATCGCTGTCATCATAAAGTAATGTGGAGCTGGACATAAATGTCATTTGGTAATTAAAAGATACTCTAAAAAGTCCTTTAGCAAATATAGAAATTTAAAGTGAAAAACTTAATCTTTAAATATGAAACATACATCTCATACATAAAAAGATACATAATCTTTTGTTTCCTACTGATCAACATTAAAACAGAATAAACCTTTCCATTTTCAAAGCCTTGACCGTGATTGTGGGAAGAGCTGAAAAGTTTTGAGAACAAACTTGACTCAGTTACATCAGTTCTGCCAGGAGGAATAAACCGAAACTCTAACAAAGAAACTTTGGAAAGAAAACTCAAAATGGTAGCCCCAAGTCATACAATTTAAAAAGCAATTCTACTACTAAACAGGTCTTCTGTATCTGAAGAAAGTTCAAAAGCATGCCCAAGATGTTTTTTCTTTCGCAACTAGAAATACTGGTGTAATAAAAGAAAATTCAGTCTGAATTAATGTGAGAAAGTGGGATAGAAAAAAAAAAAAAGATTTGTTGTTTTTTCAGATATTGGATGTACATATTTAATTATGACTCTAAGTGTAATGGTCTTCATGTTTAACTGGAAGAGGAGCAGAAAAAAAACGCTCTTGACAACAGCTTTGTTTTAAAGTCTTGAGGCACAAAAATGTTTGAACCTGGTTTGTTTTATCTTAAAATAAAGCATTTTTCTCAACTATAAATGGTTCAACAAAAGGTTACTTTAAATCAGGTTGATACAGCTGGATGTGATGCAATATTTGAATAAACTCACAAAAGGATAAACAGGTTCCATATAAAATATTTCAGAAGGTAGCGTACAACTGTGGACTCATATAATGAGAAAATATGAAATTAGGCCAGTATATGAAAAGCTGAAGTCAAATATTTGGGATTCTGGGCTCGAAATATTTTGAAATCAAGCAATCCCCCCCTTACTGTTTGTGTTCCCTAAGGAAAACTCCCTTTGATTAAATCAGCAGCAGCTCGATTTTATCTTTCTGCCCGTAAATTAGAGTCAAACAACAACATTACACTAACAGCATCCGAAAATTAGGAAGAGATTTAATCTCTCTGCGGTGGCAAAACTGGAAGAGCAGAATAAATTACCCTCCAGCTTAGGGGAGAGCACAACAAATACATTTCAAATGATGCAAATAATGAGCCTCTGCCTCTTTTACTGTAATTATATTACTTCCAGAGTGTTTCTTCTTATTTTGTCTTATTCTGTTTTTGCAACATTTTTAAACTGAAGTGGAACTCTCTTGTAGGAAGAATAAACATTGACATGTTACTTATAATTAAAATGTCAATGTTGACCTTTTTAGCAGTTCAACATGAATGTTGATACTTACTTCATTCTAAAATACCACTTTATTTATGTCTTATCTTTACATACTGCTGAAGTAATGATAGGATTCTAGATTCAATTACTTCATAATAACACTAGAAAATTCACACAAATATAAAAAGTAAGTCCTATTTTTTGACATTTAGTTATAAAACATGTAAGGATAAATACCTGTAAAGTCCCCCAGTCGTTTGCACCCCTAGAGGACATGATGAGGCCTTCCTCCTGGAAAGTCTTAAACCTCAGTGAGAGTCTGAAATCCTGGCTGTCTTCATCCATCCTGTGGAGATACTTTAGGTAGGATGTACTGCCAAACTTCAGAGCTGATTCTGAAACAGAAGAAGGTGCATCCAGTGAGGAAAAACAGTATAGATGAGGAGAAACGTAACTGTTGATGATGAATTAATTGCGATTCATGAGCTGTCCTTTTACAAAGTTTATCTACATTTGTGCACATTTTTTTCCTTTTTGTGCCTCATTTTTCTTCTTTAAAGCTAGTGAAATAACTGGTGGTTTTGGCTTGTAAAGATATGAACAAATTTCAAATTAGCATCTTCAAAACTAGGCCTCTAATGACCACATGCCCCACAATATGATAATTGTTCAAGAAAACATAATAAAGAACTTCTCCATTTAAAATAAGAAATATTTTATTGGTGCTTGCATAAATATCAGGAGAGAAAGTAGTAGTTAGTCTTTATAACGCTTATGCCTTGTTTCCACAGAGCGGGAGAGCACAGGTCTGAGTGGTGTTTTGCAATTAATTTTATATTTATGTATGAAATACCTTACTTCTGTAATTGCCAGAACAGAACAATCACCAACAGAAAATTTTAAACAGACACTCGAACTAAAATTACGTCTGAGTTTTATAGATTATATCATCCTTTTATACAAATGCTTTTACTTTATAACATTTCGGTAATTACAATCAACCAGATAATTGATCAGTTATTAATTTTTGTTCATTTTCAGCAAAGGGATCAAAGATGGCTTTGGACAGAAAAACGGGGAGTTTAGTAGCTTATATTTTGTCTTAAAGCTCTCGATTTTAAAATATAGAGGCCACAAGCTACTCATGTGAACAAATCTTCAACACGTTTTACTCGTAGTGCTGTGGATTGAGCCAGCTGAAATTCCAATCACACCTTTTTTGGTCCTGCTTCATTAATGAAAATATATCATTGGAAGATGTGGATGACTCAGTGTGTGATTAACGGGCAGCCAGAGGCAGATTAAACTGGGAATATCATAAACTTGCTATTTAAACAAGGCAACAGGAAGGTTTGACTGCTGAACAGACACTTATGATCAGCAGCTGCTGGTGAGCAAACAGGATGCTGCTGCTGCTTTCAGTTGCTTCTTCACATCCAAACTGCTGCATTAATCATTCCCATAATTCATTATTTGAAAAGCTAGTGGCATTTCAGCCAGAAACAATAAAAAAACACACCAGACAATGTAGACAGGAAAGTATTGAGTTTATAACATAACCTATTTATTTCTCATTTGCATCTGTTGGGATTGTGACATTGTAATATCATACCTGTTCATTTTTAATCCTGATTCATTGATAGCTACAGAGCACTTTGCTGAGAAACTGCTGAATGATAAAGGGTACAGAGATATTACACTCCCTCATCAAAGGTAAACTAATTTAGCAGATTCAATTTTCTCTGTCTAACTGGGACTAATTAGTTTTCTAATCTGTGATTCATTAGATGCAATGATAAAATTAGGAAGGTAGAGAATGAGGATCATGAATTTTCTGTACATGCCCCTGAAAGGCGCATATTGTAAAAAACCCATGTTTTTTCATAAACTAATGTAATGTTCTAGTTTGCCACTTCAGCAAATGTTTTAGGAAGCTTATTTAATCTGAAAACAACATTTTCTCCTGTTATTAAACTTAGCATACTTCACCACCTGAATTAAACAACGCATGCCACTGAAACAGAAAAACTGTGAAAACATGATGGCTATACAGTTAAAATAAGATGTTTACAAATACTTCAGAAGCTTTTTTTGACTGCCATCCAGGTAAGTTAATCTGCTAATAGGGGTGCGCTGATTCACTTTTTTACTTCTGATTTCAATACAGATATTTGAGGTTTAGAATCAGTCGATATCGATCCCATACAAAAAACAGTGATGACTCAACTTGTTTTTTTAAACACAGACATAAATGTAGTGAATGACAAAATTAATAGATTACTGTACACTAGCACATTGTCACTAATACCTCATCTTTAACTTTTTTCAGTATTAAGACCGATACAGATATCAGATTGGTGCATCTCTATTGCTAAATATCAACATAATAAATGACAATACTTTCAGATATATTTTTTCATTAGTTTTGTTAAATTCTAAATCTTACATACACCAGAGCCCTGTATTTACTGGCACCAATTGTAATATTAAACATAACTTATGGCCTGATATGCACAGTGGAAACATAACTCTAGTAACAACAGCTTGTCTACCGACTTCAAAAATGTAGTTTATTTCAATGCCAGGCAGTGAGTAAATAGTGTCTTTTTATACAGTGCATATCAAGATCAAGTTTCAACTATACTGTATATAGGGAAAGGTCATGTAGGGCAGTGGTTGCTGAGGTTTTGCAGCAGCCATCAAATTGAAAGAAGTGGTTAGCATCCAAGCTTCACATCTAGAAGGGTTCTTGTGGGCCACATTCACACTTTATTGGTGTCTGAGTGGGTGTGTAATAGAAGCACAGCGCAGGCTGTTAGATTCTGTGTCAACAGAGCGCTTTACTCTGGCAGGAAAGTGTTGGCAGGGTGCAGAGGAGAGATTTCTGCCAGCATTTCATCAAAATAAACCAGCACTGACACAGCAGCCTTTTGTGTGTGTGTGTGCATGTGTTTGTGTGTGTATGTGAGGACAATATCTTGGCTCAGATTTATGATAACGAAACAATGTCTCTCTCTCTCCATTATCTATGCCTTAGTCTAATATTTGGTTCCCGTTGTTTTATCGCCAAATAAAATACATTTGTCCTCCTGTTATCAGAAAATCAAGCTGTCAAACCTTTAAACTTATTACAGCTCAGTGTGACAGCCACCACTGCAGAGAGGCTAGTGGGGAATCTATCTGACACAACAGTACAATGAGTTTAATCCCAATACAGACCTAATCAGGTTAAACAAGAGACCACTTAAATTAAACATCTTTTGGAGGGATGGAGATAGATCAAGCTGTCTGTATGTTCAGAGAGATGAGAAGTCCTGCAAAATGTCTGTGTGCTTTCTGTTTTTCTAAGTCTAAAATCAACAGGCTAGTAATTTTATGTCTTTTTTCATCACTTTTTAAGCTAAAGTTAACAGCACTGAGTGATACGGCTTATAAATAAAATCTGTGATTTATTCATACCAGAGACTGAGGAACTCAGTTTTATTTTCCTGCAGCTCCAGTTACTAATCATATAATTACTTGATTTTTTTATCTTTTAAACATGTTGCCTAATGAAAGCAAAATAATGAAAGTATTTTTTGTTGTTGTTCCATTTTCTCCATCATATGATATTACTCAAGCTCATGTAGACCTCATTATGTTACGTGTGTTGCCACTGTTTAGTACTAGAGCAACGATAAAGTTTATATGAACTTTGGGGCTGCACACCCAGACATTCAGAGCGACAGACGCCAAGCTTTGTGTTTGCAAACTTCAGCATTTCCATTCCAGAACCACAACTTTCTCTGCGGTTCACACGATCTCACATCAGCACTGTCTCTGATGGCTGTCTCTCTGAAGCTCAGACACACACTGACACTGAGACAGAGTGACGTACCGTTACAGGAGCAGACGCTCTCCCAGGTGTGCTGCGGTGTGATGTAACCAGCTCTGGCTGTGGTGAAATGGCTCAGCTTCGCTCCTGACAGCAGCACGGCGTTCCTGCAACCTTTCGCCAGACAGCTGGCTTCCACACATCCGTCATGGCTCACCTTGGGAATTCTGAGACCCAGGGAGTCTTCCATCTCTGCTAAAATACCTAAATCAAAGTGTACAAATTCAGGCTGTACGCAGTGCCATGATCACAGGTCTTAGGCTATGTTCACTCAGTAGGCAAATGCGACCCAAATCTGCCTTTATTTTGCCCTTTCGCAGTAGTCTAAAGGTGCACAATTGTGATGCATCTCTCGTATCAATTCCAATATTTTTACCCCCAAAAAACACTTTCATATGTGTTACTAATTCAGATGTGTATCCAATTGCTTACAAAATGTCTGAATGGTCACATTGCATTTTATCTGGCTTTTATGTCATTGATAGGAGAGATGCATCACAATTGTGCACCTGACATGATAAGTTACGATGTAAACAATGACTAAAGTTTACGATTAAAAAATTATGAAAGAAGTCTGTGCCACAATCCCACCACTCCTTACTCTGACTACACATCCAGACAGACTTTTTTTTACAGAAATTGCAGCCAATACTACACAAAGCCATTGTTATTAGCTGTGCTTTCATTTTATTAGCTGACTTCACTCTCATTGACTCCTATTGATGAATAAACCTTAAAACTCATCTATAAACGGTTCCATCCATTACTATTTCTGTAAACAGTGATGCCAAAGTTCTTCCCATTCTGTGCATGCCGGTCACTTTAAGGATGTAAACCATGCACAAGTCTTTTTGCAGCAGGGTTTAATTAGACTTGCTGTGTGAAAATAGCCTTATAAAGAAGTATTTCTGCTGACGGCTCACCTTCCAGTTTGCTCCCTGACAGCGACTGAATGAGTCCTCCCTCAGGCCTGCGGACCAGCAGCACCTCCAGGGCCTTGGTGTCAGGCAGCTGCTGCAGGCTGGCCAGATAGAGCTCTTGTTTGGGAAGGCTAAGAGACTGCGCCATTTTGCGCTGGAGGCCTCTCCAGTGATCTCCCAGGAACTCCTCGGGTGACATCCCGACCAGCTGCAGCGTCAGGCCAGAGTCCAACACTCTCTGACTGGCTGCCCACATGTGAACTTTGACCTCTGTCCAGACAGTAAACTTCCCGTCATACACGCTGATGTTCAGCGCATACGAGCCCACCTCCAGGTTTTCATCCGCCCAGATTTTACCATCAGTCAGGTCCACGGAGAACATTTGGCCCTCTGGCTTTTGTGAAACCATCTTGTAGGTCAAGATGTCCTGCAGGTCCTGATCCGACGCGTGGAGTTTGCCAATGACCCGATTTGCAAATAGTCCTCCGGTGGTAGTAATGAAAACCTCGAGGGGGACAACGGTGGGCGGATACTTGCTCTGCTCAGTGACGTTGATGTTGATCACACAGATAGAAGACAGCGGAGGGTGACCACTGTCTGTTACCTGAATAAAAAAATGCAAAGGTTTCACCCTTCACACAATTATATATATATATATTTTTTTAAAGTATGCCACTTTTAACAGATATTGCTTTCCTGCTAAACTGATTTTGTTTATTAATTTTTCTTTCCTCAAACTAATGAATCAGTAAAAACTAAACTCTTGCATGATCTTAGCGCAAATTACACTGGGTTGATTAACCCAGTGTAATTTGCGCTAAGATCTTCTTCCTGGCTCTGATCAGTTGGTTTTGGTGATGAAGTGATGCATTTTTGCAGATCAGCTAAGCTACAAGGTAAACTCAGCAGGTTTAAACAGCAGGATATTTTTGTTGTTTAACTGACATGAAGACTTTGACAGAAATTGCAGTGTATTTGTTTCCAGTCCACTGGGTAAAGAGGGAGAAAGCAGCTTAGAGGGAAGAGAGGCAACAGACAGAAGTGGAAGAGCAAAAACAGATGTGTAGTGGCCCTTGTTACCTGGATCTTCAGCTGATGGTAGGGTTTGTTCTTCTTCCTGAGAGGTGCAGAGAGAGACAACAGACCGCCCTGGTCGACATGAAAACGGCGGTCACTGTTACCACTGAGGATGTGGAAGGAGAAAGGCGGTCCGTTCTTTGGAGTGTCTTTATCCGTCACAACAAGCTGAAGGATGCTACTGCCAATGGACTCGCCCTCCTATGAGAAATATATTTATTTTTTTATTTCAGATTTTCATTCATCTTTAAATAGTTTGTATTGAAAATCAGCATTTGGTTAATTGATGAAAAATTTGACCAAAGCAAAAAAGTTTATGGGTTTCCTTTTAATAACACGTTTGCCTTTCAATTGAATTTAATGTTCTGTACGACACAAAAGATGCCAAGCTTTACTAAAAGAGATCAAAACATGTTTGCTGTGATGAATTACATATTCAGTTGGAGCTTCTTTTCATTGTGTCCTAATACTATTAGAAACCAGTGGTCCCTTACAAAATAAAGCTGTCAGTCTCAAAACACCATTCTGCTGGAGATGGATGGCAGGAAAGGAACACAAAATGTGAAATTACTGCGCTAACACATCCACCGACCCATGTGCAGTGTGAGCAATTTGAATTAAAGCACGCGTCACGTTATGAGTCAGGTCGGTTAAAAGAAAGCTGCAGCAGACTGTGGCGAAAACGGCCGAATGTGTTGTAAATGTTGAAAGCTGGTCTTGCACCTCAGGCTTTGCTGAACACAAGAGTTACCATATTGACAGAAAAGCCTAATTAACTTAAGATAAAACAAAGTGTTGAGCAGTTGGGATTCAGTGAGCCTAACCTATGTCTGCATATTTGTGGCTTTATGAAACGGCGGAGTAACACATTTGATTACCTGTATGACCACACCTGCACAATCTACTTAAAGTCAAACAGATCCACATAAAATGCAGAAGGCTTTTGTGTTCCTATTTAGGATTAGAGAAACACTGACAGGTGAATTTCATTCAAAGACCACAATTAAGCCTTTTATATTATGTTTACATCCACACAAATCTTGAATCCCCAGGAACAGACATCCAAACACAAACGCTTCTCTAATGTTCTTGATCCTAAACTTCTTTGTAGGCGTATCATTATGTGGAGCAGATTAAAAATGTCCATTCTGTAGCTTAATACTAGGCTCCCCTAAAGATGGGTGCCAGAGGCCCTGCTCTGCAACTTGCAGACATCTCCACTATCATTTGACAAAGTGGATCTTGAAATAAAGAGAATTTTAAAAGTAAATGTGAAGACACACTTTATTGATCTAACAAATAGGAAGATGTGATTTTTAAAAATTGTTTGAAAAATTTAGAGGTGAATCAGATTGAAGTCTTAATAACACATCTAAATTGTTTTACAAAAAGGCATGTGCTTTCCATTCTGGTACAAGCTGCTATAAAATAATAGTTCACAATCAATAGTAATGAAGTAAAATATGAAAGAACAAAAAATGTTAAGGTATTTATGAGATTTAAAAATTATTCTTCTTCCCCCTCTCTCTTTCCACTCAAGCTGAGAAAAAGTCAAACAGCTTTTATTTTGGCATACATTTAAATACTTTCACTTCAGGACATTCCATTAAGGACCTGAAGTTGAAAAAAAAATTAATATTTATCCAAAACCCCGAGGCTTCACTGAAGTTAAAGATAGACTGTAATTGAACACCATGTTTGTCTGCAAGAGTTACTCTCTAGGAAATTACTCAGAATGAGGAATTAATCCTGGTACATTTAAATGTCTTCAGATTGTTTTCACTGCTCAGTGGAGACAACCTTCCTCAGCGATGTAGAATTTATCTTGATTTATATCTCCTGTGGCTTTCTCTGTGGTGGTTCTGGGATCCAAAATGAATCACTTGTCAAACTGCTAGTTTTAGTGAAGACTTCAAACTCAACTCCAGCCCATAGTGGCAGCTTCACTTCCCCACAACAGATGTGCCTCTCGTAAAAGCAGACATCTGAAGGTGACAAATAGTCAAACAAAGACTGTAGTTAACTGCCAAAAAGGAAATCCAGGCCGCTGTCGACCTGCAGCACCTGTCTGTAAAAATTAACAACTCCTCAGACCGTCTGCAGCCGCATCCATCTGCTCACTGCAATCAGAGCGCCTTGATCAGGCAGAGCTGGCGTTAGCACATGGGAGCATTTCAAAGACTTTGGATTCATCCACAGACGACATTTGGCAAAGTTTGGTCTCATGACCAAGCTTTCCGGATGGTGTGAAGAGAGCTGGCAAACCTGCAGCAGTCAAAGTGATGAAGAGTTGGCAGATAAAACACTATCAATGAGCAACAACCACAGGGAGCCAGGAGCAGATTTATAAACAAACAAACACAGCCACGTGGAAAACTGAAACATTGTGAAATACATGTGTTCCCAGGAGCAAAGATGCAGGTAAATTGCCCGTTAAATGTTTTTTTCCACCTCAGCAGATGTGGCTGTGTAATAAAAGGTTTAAAGCAAAAAGGTTGAGCACAGTGACAATCATGATAGCTGATCCCTCTGATGTTGTAATTCAAAGTCCAGAAAATGTATTTTTATTTCTGTGAGGTGACATTATGTGTCTTTAAAGGACCTTTTAAATAAAAGTATATAATTATTATTATTATTATTATAAGTACCTATAATACTACGAAGAAGGACGTTGCCATCGTTATTGCTTCACGTGGTGGCAGACTTCCTGGTGTTTATACTAATTTACCTATGTATGTATTTGTGGGTGGCAATTGAGCAGACCAGCAGCTGCGCTCTATTTTCCTTCAAATTAGGAATTATAAAAGAAATGTGCGCAGCCATGTCTGTGCGCACGGCTTTATGCATCTGATTTTTTTTGTGCGCTGCACTTTTCTAAATTTTTCTGTACGCCAGGTTTTAGTGTGAAAACTGCACATTCTTTTATGCATGAGGCCCCAGAACACTGGTGGTTTTATATAATATATATATATATATATATATATATATATATATATATATATATATATATATATATATATATATATATATATATATATACATATATATATATATATATATATATATATATATATATATATATATATATATATATATATATATATATATATATATATATATATATATATATATATATGGAGCGGTGGCTTATTCCTGGGTGTTCTTACATCTCCTGATGTATCGGTTCATGACAGTTTGTCGAAGCTGTGCTTTGTGTGTGCAGCGGGGTGTGCAGCCACTTTTTGTTTGTTTAAGCAACAGACGTGGAAGATCTCTAGGCACAAAACAGTGGCTGCAACAAATCAAAACACAGTGGTAAAACCTGTTCAAACGTGTATATGGTTCCTGAAAGGGTCAAATCAATAAAAAGTACATAAAAGACAAGCTGTTTAAAAAGATGACTTCTTTCTCTTTCCTTTTCAGGCCTGCAAAAGGTACATCTAAAGCACTAAAAGAGGACAACAGAAATCAAGGTCATTGGTGACTTAATGAGTTACTGAGTTTGCATCAACTTAATACACATAATATTTTTGTGTCTTTTTTATTTCAAGCCCTTATACTTCTCTCAAGCACTTGAGTACTTCTCAAAAAATCCTTTTGTAGAGGAACGCTGAATGCAAAGTGTAGGCTGAACTTGTTCTTTCATGCCAGCAGCAATGCTGATGGATCATCTAGACAAAATGTACAGCAGCCAACATGTGGTGGCCCACGCCGAAAACAACACACACACAAAAAAAATTTAAACTGTTTTTGAAAGTATGAGGATTACCATAACATGGATAATGGAATATCTACACAGACATATCTTTTAGGATTCAGCAATTAGCTGGATAAACATTAAATAAGCCATGTTCCACCAAATATGTCTGATGCTTTCTGTGAATAAGCTTAAGAAAACTTTCAGGTTGTCGTACCTGCAGCACTAGATTGTGGTTGACCTGAGAGAAGACAGGTGGGTTGTCGTTGACGTCCACGATAGTGATGGTGACGAGGACTGCTGATGACAGAGGGGGCATGCCCTCATCTGCTGCCTGCACTGTCAAAGAGTAATGAGGGATCTGCAAAGGAGAAATCAGGGTTTGACTAAACACTTTTTGTTTTATTGTCATTCGATGTTTTTCTTTCTTTTTTTTGTATTTCACACATACTGACCTCTTCTCTGTCCAGTGCTGTGCGGACAGAAATTTCACCGCTGCGAGGGTGGATGGAGAACTGCTGCTGCTGATCTCCACTAACAATTGAGTATCGAAGCAGATTATTGATTGGACCATCCAGGTCTGAAGCTGTTACCTGATAAGAATGAAAGAATAGATCATAAACACCACAGTCAAAGCAAATATATTATCTGCCACATTGCCTGGTAATATGACAATATGGCAGCTAATATTGCCATTTTATCTGCTGCTGTCCTGATGAGACGTCATGTGGCTTAATCTGGTTTCTGCACCTTTCTCACCTGAATGCCTGATCAATACATAAGATCAAACTGTTGTCAGTACTCTCTGCTCGACTCATTCGTCACCTCCTGTCATTTTGTGTATTTGTGTAAGATCACTTCTCCTTCCACTGCAATTAAATATTACCTGATGAAATGTTTTATTTGGTTCACAATTATCTGTTTTGTGTATGCATACATGTCATAAATGATCAAATCTCTGCTTCATTCACTTTTCATTGTGCAACCTGGTTTTTTACACTCGACTCAAAAATTCTGCCAGATTTCTCATATGAGGTTTTGTACAGGAATTTATTTTGAATTTCACCTTCCGCTTCTTTTTAATTTAAAGAAATAACAATAACATTCAAGGAAACTGTTATTTCCTTAAAATAACAGTTTTAAGGAATTACATTTTTTTAAATAAACTTATTATTATCAAAGGAGTCTGTTATTTAAAAAGGCACTTTAAACTATGATACATTCACTTAAAGCTGCATTCTAATTTATTGAATGCAGAACTGCAGTATTTATAGAATATTAGTATTTATTATTTAGATGTTTTCTCTTTTATTATTTCTCCAGTTTAATTATATTGCAATATATTGGACTTATTCCTTACTTTCATAACCAGACTTCCAGGTGTCAGATCCTCTAGTATCTCAGCGCTGTAATCGCCCTGTCTGAACACCGGTGCGTTATCGTTCATGTCTGTCACATTGATGATAACCATTGTGATGTCACTGAGGGAAGACTTTCCACGACTCCCTTCCACGGACAGGTAGTACTCCCTGGACACCTCGAAGTCCAGCGGGGCCATGAGGGTGAGAAGGCCTGTAAGATGACGACACAAAGACCAAGTTTGATGGCAGTCACTTTGAACAGCAGAGCAAAAATCTGATGTCTGACTGACTGACAGAGCGCTGTCTTGCGTCCATGATGACCGCAGTTCACACTTGACTGCTATCATAAGAACAAAAAAGTGCTGAAGGGTTTCCCACATCTGTTCTGCTTTCCCTTTAATGTGATTCAATTAAACTTTTAAAGCGCAGACTCAAAAAGTGAACAACTGGGAGGACATAGTGAAGAGTACAAAACTTTCTATCTTTAGTCTTCCTCTACTTTAGACAATTTCAGGATCTTTTGTTCTGATGGTTTTGCGATGGTATTATTACCTCCACAGCACAAGAAAGTGTATTCTGATGCGATTGTATTTTCAAAATTTTTTTTATTTAATTTTAATGTTTTTTTAGAGTGTTAAGTGAGTTCTCCTATTTATATACTAAAACTTTAAACAGCTCTGTGATGCCTTTTCTACAATTGATGGAAATAAATTCAGGCTCAGGATAGAAAACATTAATTTTATTGCAATATAAAGACTAGTTAACTTGATGTTTACTTGCTATACATTGCACAATACTCACGTGAGAACTGCTGCATAAAGTTATGAAGACATCAGTTTATTTTACATCTTCACAAATCTCAGCAACCTTCCTTTTTATCTGTTTCCCCAGCATTTATTTTGTCTTACACATTTGAACAGTCATCACAACCTCCTATACAAACTGTGATCTGCCTGACTACACTTGAGACTGAAATGCAGCGTCAATCTTATATGGACTGACAGGCATTTTATGATCTTTAAATGGGTGTTCTCGTCGTGAGCGGAATGTGTTTGGACGGTGATATTTTCCATAAGTCAAACACATTCTGTGGCATCATGTGGTGTAACTGAGCTCAGTAAAGCTGTTAGTTTAACCTTTAAAGAGACATATATCTCTCCACAAATGCCTGCTGTCTGTGAGCATGTTGTCATCCTCATGTGAAGCCCAACATCAGTTTATGGAAACAGCTAAAGGAGTTAAGATGTAACTACAAAAGGAGAAAATATGTTTTTTGTTGCTAAAAGAACCAAACCAAGCGATCCTTACATTATTAATGAGCAGTCTATGCCTATGTGCTGACTGCTATGTTAGTTTTTTAGTTTCTAATATTGACTAATGGTTCATTGGTCACTATTGACAGCTCACAGAAAGAGAATAGATAGTTTTATGACAACATCCTTGATCAAATTCACTTAACTGACACAGCAAAGTTCAATTAAAATGTTTCTGTGGACATTATACTTTTAAAAGACATCATTTAAAATACTTTATACAATAATTTTGACATAAAAGATCATAAAAATGTTAAATATTGGCAGCTAAATTGATAATAAAATTTAATTTTCAGAGACCAAACTGGAAACAATATTTATATTTCTGAACTGGCAACAGATTTAACGAGATTGTAATTTGAGGGATAATGTCTTGGCACCAAACAAATTCCTTATTAGTTTTAGAATGAGTATTTCTTTGAGTCAATGGATAACATCATCTCCTATTAAAACATCTTCTTTTTCCCCATTTCAATCAACATGATACTGGCTATGACGGAAAATATGAAACATCCTTGGCAAATATATCCACCTCTCGTCATCAGAAAATAAGCAAAACATGTTTGCCTTTCTTGGAGCAGTACCAATAAAGACCCTTAATCCAAAACCATGCAGAAAAAAATAGAATTACAGCCTGCAGCTCTAACTCCAGAACATCCTGATCCACTCATTAACTACAGTCCAAAGCACAGATCTAAACAAAAAAACAACTCTAGTTAACTTTTAGTGAGCTCACACAAACCCACAGTGGTTTCAGTGTTTGGATATGGGACACAACTTTTTCTGTTTTTGTTACACTGAGCAAGTGTGAAGCAATAGAACGTTTCATTGTGGGCATATTATCCCACACAGAGCCGGAGCGCACCTACCTGCTGCAGCTCGTCATATCTAGCAGAGTGTGGGTGAAACATACTCCCAGTTTTGGGCTGCCAGCCAGTCTGCCAAAAGACACCTTATTAAGAGAGAACAAAAATAGGCTCCAACAACACGAAACAACCATCCGCCACTCTGCTAAAATCGAACATCTCCATGTTTCAGAGAGTAAATTATTTGTGCCCTATACAAAGAACATAGGTCTCATTTTATTTATTTTTTTTAGATAAAGGGGTTTTCTGCAGCTAGTTTTAGTCAAAATGATCCAGGGCGTGTAATTTATTCATTTGTTGTTGTTTTGATTTACAATCCAACTGTGAAAATGCAGGCTGGGATCCTGTTTTCCCTTTTGTATAAATAAAACACATCCTTTCTCTTTTTTTGCTGAATTCCTACTGAGAGGTCTCTGCTTGTTTATAATTTGTACTATTCCAAGGTTCCTCCACTTCTTATTCTTAAACTAAATATTATTGGAAGAACCGTAAATCAGTTTTCATATGTGTAAGAAATCAACAGTGGTGATATATATAAGCTGATCCAATAGAAATAACGTCAACTACTTTGAAATCACTTAACTCAGTGAGACAGCAAAAGTGCGTCCATCGAGCCAAATATATTACTGGCAAGCAGTTTGGATGCATGCCACCCGAAATACCTTCCAAACACTTGATCCAAACAGTTCTTAGCAATTGTGTACATATTATAATTTCAGTGATGATCGTGACTAAATATATTGTGCAGCTATAATGATGAGAAAGAGGTTACTAAATGAAAAACCTGCTAAAATACTGAAAAAATAGCAAACTAAATCACTTTAAATTAAAACAAAAATGACTTAATTACAAATAGAAGACTACATAAATCTTAACTTTCAAAACCAAGATAGAAAAATCAAACCTAGTCCCTTATCATTTACACATGGCACAAAAGTCCTTCTATAGAACCAATTCTGCATAGAGAACAAGCACCCAAGTGCTCAGCTAAACAATAAATCAATACGCTTCCCTCACACTGTTCTATTTTATAGTAGATAATATATTAACTTATGACTGACTTTCTTTTTCACATCACTCACAAGATTGTGCCTAAAATAAGTACCATCTTTAATTTCAACAGCAGTGAAATTACAAAAACAAAACAACTCCTTAGTGCTAAACTGTAAAAAAACAAGCAAATAAAAACAGAAACTAAATTAAATAATACAAATTGCTCTAGGTAAAATCATCAGATTTGTTGTAAAGAAATTGAGTGCATAGTATTTCATCTCTGTCCTCAGGCCAATGGCACTGTTTCTGGTAAGAAGCCTTTTCTAATACTCTCAGTTGTAGCTGGCATGAAATCCAAGCGCCTGCTGGTTGATGGCCACTTAAGAAGTTTATAGTTAGGATGGTAAATGTTCTTCATTATGTGCCCTGGATCCACATCGTTGAATCAAGATGTCTCAAAGGTCAACCTACGTAGAGCTTTTGTCTTGTGAGTTATAATTCCTGTACCAGATGGTGATATCTTTAGAAACTACTGAGTAGCAGAAATGAAGAAGGTTTACAGTGCCAGTCCTGTGGAGATATTATACATTTTCAGTCTTTTTAGACAGAGACACTATTCCTTCTTTACTGGGCAGGTTTGTATACTCCAGGTTAGATCCTATGAGATATAGAGTCCAGGGCAGGTGGTAAGTAGTTTATCCTACTTCTTTCTTCTGAAGTCCACTGTCTGGTTTTATATTGAGATTAAATATTTTCTCCACAGAGTTTTGATGTTGATTGATATTAAGAAATCCCACAGTGGTGTTAGGGCTGAACTGGAATCAAAAGAGTATCAAGAATAGAAGTTGACTTAAAGCATGTCCTTGGGAGGCTCCCATGTAAAACATGTTGGTTTTACAATTACCAACATGTAATTGTAAAACATGTTGGTAATTGTAAAACTGTATATGCAGTTTTTTATATTTTTCTTCTGCTGAACATCCAGCCGCCATTAGGTGGCACGAATCTCCACTTCCTTGAGCTTTTTTTATTAAATACCAAGCTGTGATAGATCAACCAGCAAACAGGAGTAATAGCCCTAAAACGACATAATTTAAAATAAGTCTTTATTTTAAAAAACTTTCCACAAAGTGAAAGAAGGAGGTTTGTACTTTTGTTTATTGTTTGACATGGCAGCTTACTGGGGCCCTGCAGAGAGAGAGCATAAATGATTCAGTGAAAGGATGAGGTTTTTACATATCTGGGCCAAACCACCAGATAACACATCTGGTGATACACATCGATTTTAAACATTTTCTAAAGTGAGCTTTAGGGATCAGACTGGAAGCCACAGTTTCGCAGCTTGTCTCTGGAGTTTTCGTGGATCCCTCTTACTGCAGCAGAGGTGTTTGTGCACGTACAGTAATTATGTTAATGTTTTTGATTCCCTGTTATAACCCTGCAATGTAGTAAGCCTTTGATATAAACATACAACAGGAGTTTTTTTCTTTCTACTGCCAGGTTTCTATCAGTATGGACTTGTTTCACAGTTTTGCTCCGAGCAGTAAACTCATTCCACACAGCATGAAGTGACATCCCACAGAGTAACTGAGTGAGGATTGTTTGTCACTGACAGCTTCTATGCTTCTACTTCTCGCACATTTATTGTGAATACAAACAGCAGTGCTTTGAGAAGCTGCAGCAAAGGCTGTTAAAACCTGTAAGAAGCTGCAGGGAATTAATTTGTTATTAGCTACAAACAATAAAAACCAACTGAGCTCACTTTGCTTTCACTGGAACACAGAGTTCAAAAAAGATTAGTACAAATCTTAAATTTTTTAAATGTGCAGATAAAATCTTGTGCTGCCATAAACAGTTGAGGATTAAGTTGTTGAGGATTGTCAAGTTGTTATCTATTCCTGAGGTGACAGTTTGTAGGAAAAAGAGTGGTGATATTTTTTCATTTAAAATAACATTTGATCTACAGCTGCATATACTGGTTTACTCAACTATGTTCCCTATAAAATCATCCATATTTTGTTCCCAAAGGTGTGACAAATATTTGCATTTAGTCAAATGCAATTACACTATTTACCGCAATTAAATCTTTTCTAATATCTTATTTCCAGATTTTTATGCACAGACTAAACCTGCTTTGACAAAAAGTTTGCCTCAGTCCCAAGTCTGTTTGTGACACTTAACAGGTTTTTTGTATTTTGCTCCACCCAAGTCTCACAAGCATCCTCAGAGCATGATGCTGCCACTGTTGTGCTTTATCAAGAGGATAGTGTGTTAGGTGTTGGTTTGCAGGGTTGATTTTCTGCCACACACACGATGCTGCATGTAGGCCCAAAAGTTTCTTTTTCTGTTCCCCTCTTCTTCTAGGCCACCTTCCCTTCATGCATTCCAGCAAACTGCAACTTAAAATTCTCTTATCTTTGAAGCAACACTGACCCTCTTCCATGCAGGATCTATCCTCACAATCGATTTACGGCATGCATTCATTACTTATTGATGGAATGAACAGTGCTTTGTTCAAAACTTGGGGCATTGTTTTATAATCTAAGCCTGCTTTAAAATGTTTCACAATTTCCTCTGTAACCTTTATGGTGTGTTTTTTGGTCTTCATGATGCTTTTTGTTCTGTAATATTCTCTGAAGACTTCACAGAACAGCTGCATCTATACTAAGATTAAATTACAAATTAGTTAACTTCTGAAGGCAAATGGCTGCACTCAATTATGTGCAGAAGTAGCAGAGGAAAGGGCTTGAATGCTAATGCGTACCACACGCCGTGATTTTTACCTGTAGATGTATGCCTTTATTGTCCTTTCACTTCACTGTTCTTCACAGTTCTCAGTGTTGGTCTATTACCAAATCATCCAATAGAATAACACATGGAAGATACTGGCATTTACATAAAAATAAATAAATAAATAAATAAAAACTTCAAAGGACAAGGCGCTTTTTGCAAGATGGTGTAAAAACTGCACAGTGGAGACATTAAAAAATACAAATTTAGCTTCATTCAGCAAGCATAATATTTATATTTCCTTGTATTAATATTTTTGATTTTAAATTCTCAGAACAGCAAAAAATATGTGGTACATTGTCCTCTTTTCAGTCATACAGTCCTTCAATTTGTTTTAAACCTATTCATAGATTTACTGAAAGTACTTTCATTTTTTCACAATTTGTTGGTTGATCAAAGCCCAATCCAACTTTCAGGCATGAAATATTTGCCCTTCATGCTGAATTGAAACAATGAACTATTTACTTCTGGAAAACTGTAGACTCACAGAACTTTGTTGAGTTATTTCTCTCTTACCCTGCTTTTGAAGATAAACTCACCTATTTGTCACATGATTAGTTTATCTTTCCTGATGATTCAGTGAAATATTAAGCTGCCAAGAGGGCTAGACCCAATCCATCTGGCTCCTATATCAGACAAGACAAACTGCTTGTCTGCTAATATTGGAAAAACACCTCCAGATCCACTGCCAGTGTGAGATTTACTGACCACAGCTATGTCCTTTATAGCCAACTTGGAGATGCTTGCTTATCATGCAAAGGATCCATAGTTCTTTCAAAAATCATATAATATAAATTATCTAGTGTATTCTTCACCAACCAGTGAGTGGATGATGCTTTTGAATGATGTTTTATCAGGTCAACAGCAGATATTACAGTTGTTTTTAGGGTCTTTAACTATTTACACTTGGGAGATTCAGGGGGGATGCAGGCTGCTGAGCTTCTGCTGCTGTTCCTGCATGCCTTTCACAGCAGGAGATTCACGCTCACAGCTGGAAGTAACACAGAGTAATATCTGGGAGGAGCGCAGAGGTTGCAGGAGATGATGGAAAAATGCTCTGTGGGATTCTCAGTTTTGTTTACAGCATGCTGGCAAATGAGTCCCACTGAAAACTATTTTAGTGTTTACTGTGTAACACAGAACATTTTAATTAGAATAAACTATTGCTGAATTAATTAGAATGAATATTTGCAACAAAGGAGTAAACCACGGAGGTAGACAATATGGCCTATAAACAATTTCACAATGTCTGCAGAAAAAAGGGGTTTGGACATTCGAGTGCTCTGTAATTGGTTACATTCTAGTGACTTTGTGGGATCTCTGCTTGTTTTTAGATTAGATTTTCATAATTTGGAAACCTGGAAGATCAGCTCATGTTACAAAATTATTCTAATTGTGATTGTGGATTATGTGAAACATAGCAAATAATTTTTTTTTTATTCACTGTCTTTTTATTTTTTCTTGTTTTGTTTTTGTGTGCAACCGTAAGAGAGCAAACATTTAGTTAAAATTGGATTTATGTCCCTTTTTTAATAACAGCACATGTAGTCATGACTGTAGAAATTGCTCCATGTTTGGAATATTGTGAGTATGGGACAAAGAGAGCAAAAATTAGGGATTTGCAGGTATTTAAATTATTCATATTATTCAACAAAGTCAGAAATTTACTTTTTGTAAAATAACTTTTGTTCTTCGAAATGAAAATGCTAGATATAATATATTGAATATACCTTAGGTTGTTTAATTAGGCTCTGCAAAAATCAGTTTTTTTTTTCTATCAGTTGTTTTGAAAGACATTAATTAGTGAAGCGAACATATGACGGCTTCATTCTTTCTGTGTTTCAAACTCCAATAATTACATAAAGCATTGCATAAAAGTGTAAACATTTTCTGCAATGTTTACTGTGAACAAAATTTATTCATGATGCTTTAAATTCAATATACAAAGTCGTAAATCTTAAACTATATTTCAACTTAGATATCACAGAGGTAATTCTACATTCTCAAGAGTCTCAACAAATTTATTTTCTTGTCAGTCTTGCTTGTCCTTCCTATTTAAAACATGAGAAGGCTGAATGCAGGATATCTTTCAGACAGCCTTGAAAGAAAAAAAAAAACAGACGTGTTTGAGGTAAACTTTGAATGTTTCTGACTTTTAATTATACATCATACTTCTACATTACACACTTTATTCATAATTTTCCCCAAAGCATTTCACTCTGTTGGCATCACAGGGGAAGGTTGGCTTTTGCATATTAATACAGGTGGAATACTTGTTAATTTATTTGAGAAAAATCCTAATTGCTATATTCCGTTGACAGTTTAGTAAAAAAAAAAAAAAAAAAAAAAAAAAAAACATGAGGCCTCCAGTCACCTTGAAGGAAATCAAATCAAAATCTTTTTTCTCCAGATCAAAAGTTTCAGCTCCCTGGTTTGTCTTTGTTGTACGAATACAATGCACATGAATTATCCGCACAATAAACTGCTGGCACTCCATTCATCATTCAGATATTTATACACTATGGAAGAACGTTCTCACAGTAGCAAATTTGCTATTGTTCCACTCATGAAATACTCTTTAAGTTTTACAGACCGGAAACTTTCTGATTCTTTTGTGTTTAATTACACATATTTTTTCTATTGTTCTTCTTAGAGATATTTATATGTGAAAAGCTAAAAATGTGTGTATTTTAAAATAAATTGGTTTATTTTGTAAAATGGCAAGTCTACATATTTGTTTTGTTCCTTATCATATCTTTTACAATTAATATTTTTTGTAATCATATTTAATTTGAAAGTTTATGAACATTTTTAATTCATAAACAGAATAGTCCTTACAACCCAGTGAAGAAACATATTTTTTAAATTCACCTCAGAAAATGAAATCAGTTTTTAAATCTGAGGACAAAAAACAGTTCTGACCTGTTTGTGAGTCCAGGTGGAAGCGGCCATCTTCGTTTCCTGAGACGATGCGGTACACGATGGGATCCGGACCACCGCCGTCTCTGGTAAGCGCTGACACGCTCAACACCTCGGACCCGACCACCAACGACTCTGAAAGCTGGGCGGTGTACTCCGAGCTCAGGAACACTGGTTGATAGTCATCGAGGGAAACCACATCCACTGTGACCGTGGCAACAGAGTACAGGTGGCGAGGCAGGCCACGGTCGGCGGCCTTAACCTTCAACTCAAATGTTGGTGGGGTGTCGGAGGTCAGAGGTCGCTCCAGCCGCAGGACTCCAGAGAACTCATCCAGAGAGAAGAAACCACGGTCTCCAGCCAGCATGGAGTACTTAACCTCAGAGTTGATGCCTGCAAAACAGAAATTTTGAAGTACTTAAGCTCAAACATGAAGAATAAACATACACGAGAAACTCAACCAAATTTAACCTCCGTGTGCAGAAACATTAGTTTTTTTTTATTTAAATATTTTGAAAAACTTCTAATAGTTTAATAAAGATCTTATATTTTAAAATTTATTTTAATTGGAAATAAAACAAAAGATCAATAATTCTCTGATGAGACTGTTAAATGACGTAAGCTGTTGTCTGAGACTGTTCCTTAAAAGTCTAAAACGCGGTGGAGGAGAAAAACTTAAAGAAATTAACTACAATTGAAAGTATTATTGAAAATAAGCATAGAAACGGTTGAAAGTGGTATTTTAAGGAGTAAAATACCTCTAAACAATGGTTAATCCTCAGTCGTTCACTATTATTATTGAATCTCATTTTAAAGACAACTTTCATCTTTGAAAGTTGCTAAAAAGAAAAAAGGGGCAGAGAGAAAAATGCCTCTAACTGAGATTTGAATTGGATTAACATTTTGCAGCCTTTATATATATGGAGCATCTTTTCCATTCATGTTTTCACAGATATTACCATCAGTCAGTTGCAAGTTTTAGATAAATTATTTCCTGGACAAGCTCCCGCCTTTCCTGCCCCTAAACCAATTCAGAATGCAAGAAATTATCTGAGATTATGTATCAAGATCAAATGCATTGCTATTTCATGTAAAGCATGTCACTCTCTTTTATGCAGTAAACAAGATAATAGGTAATAACTCAACAGATGGGGGCACCAAATCCTCTTTTCAGGTCATGAATAAATCAATGCAAAAGCTGTTCAGCGACTACTCATAAGGTCTCTGAAAAAACTCTGACCACAGCATAAGTCTTGTAAATTAACTTAATTTTCAAGTCCTTATTTTCATCAAGGCATTTCACATAAACATTCAAGCATGGAAACTTAAGTCACACCAGGAAGTTTAGGTGTTCTGCAGAAGATTAACTGGACAAAAGTTTGAAAGATGATGGTTAAGCAGTTTGTCTTTCTGTTGCCATGACAGAAAACACATTTTGGTGTATTCCATTCAAAAACTAAGATTTGTTCTCATAACCGTCTCGATCTTTAAAAGCCAGCAGCTAGATTTGAAAAGTTTACTTATGCTTGCTCATTAAGAAAATAAATCTCAGAAGAAGCAAACTGATGCACCAGTAGATGAAGTAAAGCCTCAAGCAGGCCGGTCTTTGTCTCATCTGTGAGAAACCTGTGAGAGCAGGAAAAGACAAGCTGCTGCACATCCAAAGGAGTGGCTGAGCTGCCAAAGTATGCCTTGTAAATAGTATGTACCAGCTAGTTTATGGGCAGACTGTTTGATCACTTTCTTTACATTTGCCCTTGCATCAGAGTTTGACCATAAACCTTTCAACACTCAAACTGTAAACAGACAAACGCATCTGTGCAAACTGGTCTCAGCTACAAGTTTTTAAAGACAAAAAACTTTTTCCTTAGGTTCCCCAGCGGTATTAACTATGTATGTACAAAAATGGTGTCATTTATTATTTTAGAAACGACATAAACTATGCACAAATCTTTATCTTTATTAACAGAAAAAACAACATTAAGTGGCCCCCACAACATTGCAATATAAAACAACTGTTGAGAACACACACTGTGAGGGTGAGAAGTTCTCTTGTAATGAAATCTTGGCGAGAGAGAGGGAGAAAAAGACAGCAAGAGACAGAGAAAGACAGAAAAAAATCTAGAATAAACACTATTTGCTACTTCACCGACATGTTGTGAGTTGCTTCCCACTGAGGGTGGCCTTACCACATCTGGATGCTGCCATAAACTTTTTTACCTTGGTTCAAATAACCGACTGGTGCATGTCTCTTGACCACATATGACTGAGAACATTTTTCCATATTGAACATTTGAAACTAGATATGGAAACTAAATCTAAAAATAGAAAGAGGTCTCTTAATTTCATGCAAAATAAAGCAACAGAAAACAAGACATTTTTTTCCAAAATAAGAATAAAAATGTAAAATATGTGACACTAAATATTTTGTAATCATTAAACTCCAGGTGTTTCAAAAAGAGATAAATGAGACTATTGGCTTTTCAACAACTCTTTCAACTGAAATGAAAAACTGAAATTTTCTTTCACTGTTGATCAAAAACAAGTTAGTAGGTATTCAAGGTCCTTTGTGTTACCATCAGCAGCTATTTCCATGACCCTTAGATAATCTCCTTATCTACTCATTGTCTGTCAAGGCACCATACAGAAACAAAATATCCTGGATAAGAGTGGTGATTGCAGTTTTAACTGATTGCACAAGACAGTAACAATCTGACACATATAGATGCATGATTATGTCCCTGCTTTCCACTTTGTAACAAACACAATCAGTTTACACTGATGTGAAGGAATGAACCCTAGATATTTATTCTTCAGAAGACCGTTTTCTTTACATGGTCATATTTAGTATTTAGAGTTTAGTATGGAGTATTTCACTTTATAGTCAAATCTTCTATGTTTTTTACAATAACTATTTTTACTGATCTTATAAGTGGGGAGCTTTCCATTTGAATGTGGCTCAAAGTGAAATAACAGTCAGAGGTTTTTCGGTGCAGTAGCAGATGACAATTACCTTGAAAGCAGCTGCAAGTGCAACTAAACACTGCTTTTTGGTTGACTGAAGAGCTCAAACTTCCTGTTCAAGTTGCAGATCTCAAGTGATGATTTAAACTTGTTTGTATGTTGAATTTAGCACTCAGAACAAGATGAAGTGATTGACTTAAAATAAACTATCTACATACCTCCACCATCCCCTCAAAAAAAAAAAAAGAACACACACACACACACACAAAATTGGGGCTTATCTGTAAACAACCCATAAAACAGTGTTATGCATCAATATGTTTGGTTGTTACACTGGGATTAAAGAGGTAGTTACACTCAGCAAGTTATGATTTTAGACAGACTGAGAGTTGGTACTGAAAACACAATGAAGTGCCAGCATGAAAGAAGAACACTGTTAAAGCACACAAGGGTGTAAAAAATTTGATCAAGTGATGAAATGAACTGAATTTATAAAACTCAAAGCACTTAATACTAAAGCCCCAGTCATCCTTTTAAACTCAATAATATGCACACATCCATGCACCGATACACAAATCGACAGGCACCTTGGGGTTAAGTACCGTCCCTGGGGTTAGGTTTGTTTCAAACATGGCAGAAGGACGTTTGAAACCAACTTACAATTTTCAGATTTTCAGCTCATGAGGTTAAGTGTTAAGAGAATTAAATCTCTGTGCAGAGAGCTGGAATGACATAATGTATCAAGGGGGAGTTTCGGAAGAATTAACTCTGTTGCAAATGGATTAGCATGTCATTATGTTTGGGATCAGCAAAAACATGCTTATACCCATACATGTTATAGACTTACAAAGCCAGGCTTCTGATACCAGGCCAAATGTTTAATCTCAGCATGTTGGGACCTGGGGAACACAATACATTGCTCTCACCGAGCTGAAAACCTCCCATTTCTAAACGTCAGCAGTTGCTCACCTGTGTCTGGGTCCCTGGCGTAAATGACAGCGATCGGCGTGCGAACCGTAGTGTTGTCGAACACAGTGACCTCGTAGTGACTAGAGGAGAAGAGGGGTGGGTTGTCGTTCATGTCCTGGGTCATCAGCAGGATGTCGGCCTGACAGGACCGACCACCGCCGTCAGTCGCCTTTGTCACCAGGTTGAACTCCAAATGAGTTTCACGGTCCAAAACGGCCAGAGTGAACAGCTCACCTGAAGGCAGGTGGATTCCGAAATAGTTAATCACCAAACATCACAATTTTATATGTAATTAAAAAGTATTTTATTCTTATCGAAATTTAAATATGTTTATCTACAGTGAAATTGGCATTTATCATTCCAAAGGATTCTCACAATTTAGGTATTAGTACTGTGGAAAAAGTTTGGGAACACATCTTGAAATGTAAATTTGTGACCTCCAATACATTTTCGTATTATTTCACAGTGAAAGGGATGATTGTTCTCAGAAGGACATGACAAAACATCTAGTTTATCTGTAAAATCAGGAGTGCGAATTTTAGGTGAGGATAAATGTTATGGCAGAATGAAAGGAATTGATATCAGTGATTTGCTGGACAATAACAATTGCTTTGGCTCCTATTAGCTCATTACAGCTGCAGATTGTTGATGTTATCACCATCCCAGACACTCACAGACACCATCATACCTGTTCTTGGATCCAGATGGAACTTATCTGCGTCTGGACCGTGCAGTGAGTACGAAATCTCGCCATTTGCTCCCACATCTGGATCTGAAGCTGAAACTTTGAGAACAAACATCCTTGGTGGCGAGTTCTCCATTACCCCCTCTGTGTACATCAGCTAGAGACAGAGGATGAGAAAAATAATCAGGTGGCGCTGAGAGGATAACATGCTGCCACAGTGTTTACAAGCTTCAATCATTTTAGACGTTTTTAGCAAACAGTTGAGAAATGCTATTTTCAATAAATTAGACTCATATGTCAGATTAAAAGCATCCTTTCACTAATAAATAAAGTTTATTAGTGATATTTTAATAACTAACTTTATTTAAAAAAAAAAAAATATATATATATATATAACATATATATATATATATATATATATATATATATATATATATATATATATATATATATATATATATATATATACCCGCACAACTTTTAAATTGTCCTAGATATCTTTTATAAACATTTAGTGCAATAGCGCAAGTACTGCTGTACAAACAGCACTCCTCTTTTGTAATTCCCTGTGAAAGAAGATCCTGACAACAAATCTGGGACTGCCTAACCAAATTTACTGAGAGGATCAACAAAGTATCTGAGAAGCAATCGCTTTTTGTCAGTGATGCTGTGAAACGACTCACCTGTTCACAAACTGGACTGTTGTCGTTTGTGTCCAAAACATGAACATCAACAGTAACCGGAGCCTCAAACTTCCCATCAGTGGCAGTCACCCTTAATGTGTATCGGCCTTTGGTCTCTCGGTCCAGGTTCTCCTTCACAATCAGACCCCACTGACCTTCGTCCTCCTGGACGATGGCAAACTGGCCCAATGGGTCTCCATCTGCAAGAGGAAAAAAAAAAGAAGTTGCGTCATGTTTTTGAATCTGACGATTCGATTGTCATTGCAGCTGAAAATATTTTGTGATTCTCCAATTGTTTCATAGCTGCTACTGTCCTGCTAATGTTTGAGATAGATTTTTTTCTACATTACACTTGCAATTTTAGATTCTGTTTTCTCATAATGACACACACACCTTGTCGGACAGGTGATGTGTGTTGGCAAGGGCTTAATTAAAGGTTTCTTGTAAAAACAAAAGGTTTAACCTCAAGAAAGAAACTGTCTTGAGCTGCCATTCGGGTACTGCAATTAAATTGTTGTTCCACAAGTTTTCTTTGGCCACACTAAGTGGATTTTGTTCCACAAACACCAACATTAATAAACCTCGAGCTATTATTTATGCTGATTTTAATTTATAATGTTGACATTGGAATGGAAATACCACAAATCAAGTTGACATTCTCCCAGTTTTTACGGGAACATGCATTTAATTTTCTTTTTTTTTTGTGAAAAGTTGTGTTTTTACAGCAAAATGTAGAAACTTTATTAAAACAAGCCATGTTACATATTACTGAAATGGAGAAAGAAGCATTTTGCAAATATATATTTTTTTGTTTTTGTTTTGTTTTTTTTATATATTATTATTATTTGTGGTTGGGAAACAAATAATTTTGACAGGAATTGATTTCAAATGTAAAGAAAACAAAAAATATTAATGAATTGTGGAAATAAACAGATGCCAGGTAGATTTTTCTTTCCATTTAAATAACCTAATTATTCCTACATTTCACATGGGTTGGTTTCTTCTTCCAACAGGTTCAGGAGCGGTAAAAGGAGTTGTATAACTCTCACATATATATTAAGGTCCTTAAAGGTATTTTTATAATCTGCTAATATGTGACTTTGCACCAGCACAAGGTCGGATGGGCTAATTTGGGTTTGGGGTCATAATGTTTTATATTTCAGCTGACCCAAATGGGGAGTAAAACCGAGATCGAAATGTATGATTACAACATAAAAAGTCAAGTTACATAAAATCATTAAAGACAAAAAATATTTGTTTTAATAAAATATCTCCATCATTCATCAAAATTCTGGACAAAATAAACTAAAATTAATATTAAAAAATAGGAATATCAAATGGCAACTTGAAAGGTACAAAGAGATAACCCTAAGGTGTAACATGAAGGATGGAAGCAAAGAAACCTAATTCTAACTTGTTAGCTGTGTATGAGTATACAATTCACTGTTTTTCTTATGAGGTAAGACATTAAGTATTATTGATAAGACATTAACATAGAAAAAATACTCCTTTTAGTACTATTAGTAATATTGTCTTAAGACAAAACATAGAAAACACATTTGCCCTGCGAACTGGAAATCAACAGTGAAAATAATAAATTCTTATTGATTCAGAATAAGACAAACCTTAAATAAATTAACAAAGTGTGTAGACAGTTTTATAAAAAATTTTGTGACAACTGAGAGTTTGCCTGAGCCGAACCCTTCGATTGTAAATAATTCCAGCACAAACACTCATCTCTGTCTCAGAACTCCTTCAGAGAAGTTTAACTATCTTGGATTTGCATTAATTCAAGGCTCTGTTTGTTGTTAGCTGCAGGGCATCCAGTTGGTATTCCTGTGTTGTCACACCGCTCCACTTTAGGATTAATTGGAGGTGGAATAATGTGACTCAGTTGAGGGTGATTAACACAGATTTTCATTTTGCCTTATTAATGTCTTTATAAATCCCACAGTGCAGCAGATCTTCAGAGCAAATAAGTGATTTCACTGATGAAAACATTGATGCTTGCTTGAACAAAAAAAAACACACTCCACAGTGCAGTAACATGCAAAAAGCTATTGGCCAAACATACTGTAAGTCAGATATACAAACCTGTGATATAACACGTCACCAAACGGTTCTCCAGGGACACATCAGCATCTGTGGTCGTCATTGAAACAATTGGCTCAAATGGGGTGGCATTCTCCACCACTGAACCATGGTATACGTCTTCCGTGAATTTCGGCGCGTTGTCATTCTCGTCTGTCACCATCACTTCCACGAGGACGCTGGACGATAGCTTGACATCTCCTCCATGATCTGTGGCAACCACATTGAACTTGTAGACTCTGAGAGTCTCGCAGTCTGTTTCCCGCAGAGTGGTGATCCAGCCGCTTTCTCCTTCAATGGCAAACACCTCATTGATGTCAATCTCGGTGTCATCAGGCAGCGTCTCCAAACTGTAGGTAACCATGCCATTGGTGTCTGTGTCTGGATCATTGGCTGTCACCTAGAGGTCAAAGACCCATTAGCATATTCTGTGCAGAAATCTATTGTGGCATGGACTTGTAAAACACTTATGTGGAGGTTAAAGTAAATGCTAAGACCTCTAGGTGCCAGATGCTGGCACAATAAACATAAAAAAAAACAAACAATAACTTTCAAAGATAGCGACATTGACTGCATATCTAAACATTTATTTGAATGTCTTTTTAAAAGTTTATTATGTATATAATTGTTTCCTAGACCTTTATTCACATCCAGTTTTCTCAACATTCCTTATAGTCTGTGCAGATATCTTATAAAGAAAAGGTATAATGTCTATGTTCAGTTTACATATAAGCAGTAGACATGCAAATGTCTCAGTGTACTTGACACCATTTTATGCTTCTCTGTTCAACAAGAATATTGGCATTTCCAGGAACTTCATTAAATGCATTCAATACATCGGAAGAAGAAGTAAACCTACGAAAGAAAGCCTGGTTTGTCTTACCTGAATAACAGTGGTTCCAGCAGGCATATTTTCTGCCAGGAAGGCTCTGTATGGGCTTGCATCAAACATGGGCTGGTTATCGTTCACATCCTGAACCTGGATACTGACAGAGACCAGCGATGCAACATCTGTCCCATTATGGTTCCCCTGAGCAATCACATCTATCTGGTACCACTTTGTCTTTTCATGGTCTATGGTCTTCTGCAGTAGCAGAGTGCCACTTTCCTGGTCCAAGCTGAAAACTTTGTCTTTATTGCTTTCCACAGTATTCCCATTGACCAGACTGTAAATGAGAGGCATGTCAGAGTTGGCCCTCACTGAGCCAATCTCTGACCCGATGGGAAAATCCTCTGCAGCAGAGAAGGTGTAGAGTGGTTCTGAGAATTTTGGCAGGGGAACCTCTGGAGGAACCACCTTTAGTTGAACAGGGACAGTGGAGTTATAAAAAGGGAGACTGCCGTCACGAGCTTTCACTTTAAAGTTAAAGATCTTGTTTTCCATTCCAACCAAACTCTCCTTAACACTGACCACTCCTGTGAAAGGGTTGATTTCAATGATGTCTTCGACAACTTCCTCAGCTTCATCCACAGTGTAGGTCACGTCTGCATTTTTACCATCATCAGCGTCATAAGCCATAATCTGAATGACAGGAGAGCCTTTATTTACAGTCGATTGAATTGAAACTTGGTATTCTGATGCTTTGAATTGAGGCACATTGTCATTCTCATCTGTGAGAATAATTTTGACTGTACAAAAGGCCACTTTTCCACCACCATCCTTTGCCATCACTTTTATTGATATCACTTTCTGGGTGGGGTTTTCTCTGTCCAGCGGTTGCGTTGTAACAATCTGACCGTCTTCGAGGATGGCAAATTTCTCATCAGCAAGTTTGTTGATGATGGTGTAATCCACACTTCCGTACGGCCCATCATCGGGATCAATAGCTGCCAGTCGGATAACGCGAGTTCCCGCTTCTGCATTTTCAGCCAGCTCTGCCTCATAGATGCTCTTTTTGAAGTAAGGACTGTGCCTGTTGCTGTTAATCATGTCAATACTAACTGGGGCAGTTTTCTGAAACACTCCATCAGATACAGCCACCGTCAAGTTGTAGTAAGGATCTAGATTCCTCTTGCAAACGTTGGAAAAGGAGATTATCCCTGAGGATTCATTGATGTTGAAGTATCGATCTTTGTTACCTGAAATTATTTTGTACTTGAGATGATTGAGGTCTTCAGAGTCAGGATCTGAAGCTTGAATTTTAATGACAATGTGGCCACATTTGGCCATTTCATCCAAAGTAGCTTCATACTGAGAACTGACAAAATCAGGAGGATTGTCATTGACATCAGTGACATTTACAAAAACCATCACCTCGCTACTGAGAGGAACAGTCCCATTGTCAATGGCTTTGATTTTCAAATTAAACTGTTCAATATCTTCATGATCCAGAACCTGTTTTGTGACAATCAATCCAGTCTTAGGATTGATATCAAAGAAATCAGTTTCATTTCCCTCAGTCTTAATGATCCGGTAGGTCAAATCTTTATTTCTGCCAGAGTCTTTGTCCGTTGCATTGAGTTGAATCACAGAGGTGCTGACTGGAAGCCCTTCGGCAATGTTCACACTGTAAGTCAGCTGTGGGAAAAGTGGTGGATTATCATTAACATCCTCTACTACAATTTCAATAGATGCCTCTGAGAACGCTCCAGTAACAGAGTCAGTAGCTCGAACTGTCAAGAAATGCATTGTCTGGCTCTCATAATCCAGAGGATTGGTTATGGTCAGAACTCCAGTCTTAAAATCAATGTGAAAATGCTTTGAAGCATTTTCCTCCTCAAGATTGTAGATGAGCCGATATCCCTCAGGGTTTCTGGCCTGAACGTGCAGAATGGTGGTGAATGGGGGAACATTTTCAGGAACTCTCAGTGGATAAAGAAGAGTCTGAAAAACTGGATTGGTTCTGTTCCTTACTTGAATAGTGAGCTGAGCAGTGGTTCTATGAGTTGGCAGGCCATCATCTGAAGCCACAACAGTCAACATGTATTTATTCAGGGCTTCAAAATCAAGAGGTCTTTGAAGGGATATATCGCCCACATCTGGATCTATCCTGAAGAGGTCAAAATCCTCCTCCAGAGAATACATGATTGATCCGTTTTCACCCAGATCTTTATCAATGGCAGTTGCTTGGTACAAAACATCTCCTGGCTCTGCATCTTCAGAAATCATCATTGAAAAAGGCAAATTTAGAAACTGTGGAGAATTGTCATTAACATCATCTATAAAAATTTTGACTTGAGCTGTTGCTGTTCTGGGTGGGGTTCTGGTATCTTCAACTTTTACCACTACGTCATAAATATCTTGTTCCTCTCTGTCAAAAGGAATGCCGGTGGTTTCAAGAACCCCTGACATTTGGGAAATAGTAAACCTTCCCATTGGGTTGGTTACAGAGTATAAAAGAGGCTCATTCAGGTAGCATCCTGAGACTTTTAGTGCTGCCAAAGTTTTCACTGTATTTAGGTTTTCTGCAATGCTTGCTGAGTACATTTTATGTTGAAATTCTAGATCACTTGGCATCAGCTCAGTTGCATTTATCCTGACAGTGGCTGAATCTTTAAAGAGACCATCTGAAGCTCTGACAGTCAGCTGGTAAAATGACCTGAACTCTGACACGTTGCTCACAGTAATGACTCCTGTATTGGGATCAATTGAGAATGCATTGTGAAGATTTCCCTCATAGATGCTGTATGAGACTGCTGAATCTCCATCATGGGCCATGACACGGACAACCTCAGTATCTCTGACGGCTGGGACAATGATAGATGACTCATACATAGAGGCGGTGAATTGTGGCGCGCAGTCATTAAGGTCCAGGACACGTACAGTGACCTTGGCAGGCTCTGCTGCGTACAGTGATGGTTCCCCTGAGTCCTTCACCTGTACTGTGAAGTGATATTCAGCTTTGGCTTCAAAGTCAAGTGGTGAAATTAAGGAAATGGTACCCATACTTGGGTCAATCTTGAAAACTTTCAGCACTTCAGGTTCAAGGATCAGATATGTCAGCAGAGAATTTGAATCTCGATCTGCATCAAATGCCTGAATGACCAGCGGTGCACTTCTTTTCCCCATCACTATGCTGTTTATAGGAGCTGATTCACTGATTTGACCCAAGTACTCCTTCTGCTGAAATACAGGAGCGTTATCATTCTCATCCATGACATAGATATGGACGAGAGTCTTGGACATGGCTCCAGCTGTTGTGGAAGCTGTAACTTTGAGCTTGTAGGACTCCCAGGTTTCAAAATCAAGATATCTTTTGGTGGAAATCAAGCCACTGTAGGGGTTGATATAAAATGTGTCATTTAAGTTTCCACTCTCTATACCATAATGCACTGCAGATGGGCAGGAGGCAGAGATGGTGAGCACTGGAGTGCTGGGAGCTCTTAGTTCACTGACCTCTGTTAAATATTCATCCGCAGGGAAGATGGGTGGCGTTTGATCAGAAATGCGGATATGGATGTGGACGGAGCAGAGGTCAGAACGTTGAGGGAAACCCTGATCATTGGCTTTTACTGTTAGGTGGAATTGGTCCTGAGGCTGAAGGTCCAGAGGTTTGGAAATGCTGATGGAGCCCAGCTCAGGATCAATGGAGAAGATGTCGTCAATATTACCTGCAGGGAGGTAAGACATGCTATGTTATACATAAAAAAAACTATCTAATTTTAGATTTTGATGATTAAGTCATATTTGTATAAAAATAGGTACAGAAAAAAACTATTTACTTTATTTTTCAAGGTGTTCAGTGATAATAGTATCATCTCATTGATTCTTCTGTTGTCTTTTAAACATTAAAAACGTTTCTGGGAGCATTGACATTTATCTCACACCAGTGGTCATTCTTTTAAACTTCACAAGCAAGAATCTGAGATAAGATAATTACAAAGATGGATGTTGTTTGCTGCATCAAACACTAAAACAACAATGTGTTCAATTGCAGCAGCTGGCATTGAAGCATCATTCTCTGTCTCAGACATTCCCAGGATCTTTGATTACTCGTGATCCGCCATAATCCCAAACAACCCAGTGTGAAAGATTTAAAGACTGCAGATGAAACAGAGACAGCTCCCAGGAGTGAGTTTGTATAGCTAAATGAATGTGAAGCAGTGTTCAGGTGAAAAGAAGCAAGCGCAGATAAAATATAAAAATAAGCCTGGGCGACTCACCAGAGTGCAGCGAGTAGCTGATGTCTGCATTGCTCCCCATGTCCTTGTCTAGAGCTTTGACTCGGACAACCTCAGAGCCCGCAGGGGCCAGATTAGAGATGCTAGCTTCATAACGGGGGCTGAGGAAAGCTGGAGAGTGGTCATTACAGTCCTCCACATGAATCACCACCTTTGCAAAATTCTTCTTCATTGGAATCTCCTGGTCACGCACCTGAAGAAAAGAGTTAATATTGCAGCATGTGAAGAGGTAAATCATCTATCATCAGTGCAAAATTCAAAAAGTCTGGTCTTTTAAACTTTTTGTCATTACATAATAAATAATTACCATAATGATGAGGGTATGAACAGAGATCTTCTCGAAGTCTAGCTTCTCCGTCATCACCAGAATGCCATTCTTTGGATCCAGGTGAAAGAACTTGGTGCTGTCCGGATGAAGGCTGCTGTGGATGGAGAACAGCAGGTTGCTGTTGGTGTCATCGTCCTTAGCGCTGATCTGCAGGATGTCCTTCCACAGGGACGTGTCTTCAGGAACCCTCACCTTAAGGACAAGAGAAGATGATCACAGAGCAGTGTAGAAAAACTTACTGTGTTTTGATTCTTGATGGTTCTTATAAAGAAGGTAAAAAGGGAGTAGAGCTGAAGAGGAATATCAAGCTAAAAGAGTCAGCTCAGACAGAGAAATAACAATGATGTGAAGTTGTGAGAAAATATAGCACATAGCTTTTTAAAACATTTAGTTGCCATCTCAAAGACATACCCAGGTTATTCATATTTGTTCATCTCAAATTAAAGAACCAAATGCTTTGTAAGACCTCAGTTTTCCAAATGTTGTTAAGCAATTAATGAAAGAGCACAAAAAGAGAATGTTTATTCTTTTTCACATGATGAAATATCTACCCAACTGCATGACTAAAGGCAGCAAATAATAAATATTTAGCAAATCACAAAATATCCACTAAACATCTTTTTATGAAAGTCTAACAGAAATGTCCTCAGTTTTTATAAAGGTATTGGGCGAAAAGCTGTTGTACTGAATCTGCTTCTTTTTTATTTTGTAAATAGTATATTTTAACCTGGAGTAAAGCCTGTCTTAAACAGTGATCTCTCTCAGTTTCTCATCTCTTCCTGTACTTAAGGGCACAACTGAGAATCTAACACATTTCAGATTTCTGTAAGGTAATCCACCAAGGCAGCTAATAGCCTTTCTGGATGAAATGTAGACAGGAATTTCAGCTTAAAATAATACTCTTTACATCAAGCTTTTGAAAGAATAACATCATAAATTTTGGTTTTCTTTAACGTTTGCTTTTACTTATGCTCTCTAGAAGACATTTCAATGGCTGTCTAAACTTGTATTATATTAGATTTCTGCTGACATGTCTCTACTGGTGCTTTACATCTGCTTGCATCTCAACATCCCCATTATAAGCACACATGCATGACCTTTGGAGGATCATTATCTGTATGATTAAATATTAACTCTCACCTCATACAGCGGTTTCAGGAAGAAGGGTCGGTGTTCATTCATGTCCAACACACGGATGTTGGCCTGCAGATTGGACACAGGATTGAAAAATGAAAAAAGAAAATGCATGAAAGACCCATCATCTGCAGCACCTGATCAGCTGTTAAATATTTATGAAATTAAGGTATCTAGACATATTCAACCTTTGTTTGTTAGTTTGCACCACCATAACTATAAAAATAGAGGAAAAAAAAACTTATAATGTAAAAAATGTCTCATTTGATCAAACAGAAATATCAGTTCAACTGTCTTTTCTGTTTACAGATGTAAGAGGAGAAAGGGAAAGTTTTTGCTATGATTTAAAACAGGCAGAACAGGTAATATAGAAAAATTCAGTTTTCATATAACACCATGCTTCAGATGTCTTTGATCCAGGCTCATCAAAGTAAAACTTAAATATATTTTATGGCTGATAATAATAAGAACCTTCAGAGTTTTTCATTTATGTTTTGGAAATGTGTTTTTGTTTGTTTTATGCGTTAACATTGCTTCTTGTGGTTTTCTTTTTTTTTAAATATATTTTCTTACCTGTGTGGTGGCGCTACGGTGGCCATCTGTGACTTCTACTGTCAGGTTGTAGTTGGAGCGGCGAGCGGCATTAAGTTTTCTGGCAATTAAGATTGTTCCTACGTTCCTTTGGATGTCAAAGTCTTTGTCTTCATCACCACCTAAGAAACAAAGAAAAACAACAAAATCCGTCCATCTGTTGGTGAGAATGGCCATGGTTTCGTAGTGACACATTGCTGTTCTGATGCAGGTGTTAATTTGGTCTCTGCCATGGTTTAGACATTGTCAAACACAACAACAGACATAAAAATGACACTGGGAGAGATATGAGATGTTTTGCATATTTACACCACACTTCAAATTATTATGCAAATTGCATCTAAGTGTCATAAAGATTTTTTTTGTTTGTGCTATTAAATTTATAGATGGTATTGTGTGTCAGGGCTCTTTGAATCACTATAATTAATTTCAGAGAGCTGGTTGATCAGTTTGTCTGGTGAGCTCAATTAAAGTAAATCTACTTCAGAAGGATGTTCCACATTATTAAGCAGGCCACAGGTTTCAAGCAATATGGGAAAGAGAAAGGATCTCTCTGCTGATGAAAATCATCAGATAGTGTAGTGCCGTGTGACAAGGTATGAAAACATCAGATACTTAACAAAAACTGAAGCATTATCATCATACTGTGAAGAGATTTGTGGCTGATTCAGAACAAAGATGGGTTTGTACAGATAAAGGCAGAATGAAGAAGGTTTCTGTTAGACAAATCCATCGGATTAAGAGAACAGCTGTTAAAATGCCCTTACAAAGCAGCAAACAGTTATTTGAAGCTACTGGTGCCTCTGGAACCTCGAGGTGGAGGATCCTCCAGAGGTTTGCGGTGCATGAATCTACTATTGGGCCTCCCCCAACCAGCTCACAAGCAGAAACGGACGCAGTGGACCCAGGTGTAAATGAAGATTAATTTTCAAACAGACTTGTTTACTGATGACTGCTGTGCAACCCTGGATGGTCCAGATGGACGCAGTAGTGGACTGATTTTGGACAGCCACCACGTCCCAACATGGCTGTGATGTCAGCAAGGAGGTGGTGGAGTCATGCTTTGGGCCAAAATCATGAGAGAGAATCATTGGTTGGCCCCTTCAGAGTCCCTGAAGGTGTGAAAATGACCTCAGCAAAATATATGGGCTTTCTGACTGATCACTTTCTTTCATGTTTCAAAAAGAAGAGCATGCATGACAATGCACCGTTTCTGACCATCATTTGCATTAACCATTTAAGAAAATCTGAGAAAATATCACTTGTACAATAATTTGGAACACGGTGTAGATACCAAATCCAGTGTAGACATGATTAAAGTCAACTTCAAGACATAATATCTGACTGTAGAAATAAAGGAAATCTCATCTCTCTTTGGGATTTGACAAATTGCAGACTCCTCTCCATGAGCCGTAATTAATATCTCTGTCCTTAATTTTTAAACCGCTATAACTCCTCCAACTTGAGTCTGAGTGAGTACAAACATTTAGGGATGATGCTACTGGGTTTAATTCATCTTGCAACACTGATTTGTGTCAGTCGGTGGTAATTAATGATTGTAGCCCATATTTTACTGACAGTCTTATCCAGGTTCAGGTCCCTCTACCTCCCAAAAGAAACCTGCTTAATGAGAAAATCTTAGCAGATGGTTTGTCTTAAATACATATATTTGAATAAACAGAGCTGATTAACACTTGGTACCTTTTTTCTTGCATCCTGAGGTGAAAAAACAACTGGAAAAAGCAACCTATACCTCACATTACGTCACATTGGTTTGTTGTTCACTTGTAAAAATTGAGTTTCAGAAATTCTAGTGAATGATATTCAGAAAAGTTAGTTAGTTAAAGATGCTCTGCTGTTATTTGAGCTTATATAATTAAGTAAACTTTTAATATCACATCTGTGAATATAATTTAGACATCATCTCTGAGTTTTAAAACTGAAGTTACTCAACTTTCGGCTGAAACTGAGGACAGATGTTATGAAGAGTTCCCAGAATTAATAGTGAAACAGCTCTGCATTAAAGCAGAGCAACAGCTGAACTGGCTCAGACATGAGAAATAATCCAGATAGTCTAGTTTATGAACAGATTAAAACTTATCAGATGCCTAAGCAGTCTCAAACGGTCGATATGCTTTATCTTATCTTTGTTGAAGCATGTGTGAGTAAAACCACGCTAAATGAGTGATCTGTTTGAGCACGGAAACAGTTTGTCTTGTCTTTGCAGTTTCTGCAAACCATAAAAATCTAATCACAGAATAAACACTTAAATACGTGTTCGGACATATCTTCTGGTTCGGTGAAAAGGGATTTGAATGCAGTTGTTTTTAGTCTCAGCTTAACAATGTTGGTGCATAATGTATCATTTTGAGGTTAACAAATATTAATTTGATATACATTTAAAAAGCAACCAGCAAGTTTTACAAAGTTCTAGTCATGAACCATTCATTTTATTCAGGTGTGTTGCTGCAGGGACTGTCGTGATGTGAGTTTTATTTATTAAAAGTTACAGAAAAAAACTTGGAAAAAATCACAAGAAGCAAAAATAGGCCAGAGCAGCACAGGAATTAGGGACCGCAGGATTAGACAGGAGGAACCAGGAAGGAGAAACTGAGAATGAGTTGTATATGTATATAACAGGGCAACACAAAGGCACAGTACCAACAATAATGCACATACTCACAACTAAAGACAATTTAGAGAGACCAATTATCCTAACAGTCATAATTCTGGACTGTGGGAGGAAGCCAGAGTATGCAGAGAGGCCTTCTCAAAATATTAATGCTCTTAAACTTGGTACCATTTAACTGAACACCACTGTCTAGTGGTAGTGTATAGATAATAGTTCCTTTTCAAATCACTGACAAAATTAAGTCTCTATAGGTCAATTTGTGCTTTTAAAGCATTAAAGAGCTGATTAAATTGTAACACCCTGTGGAAATGAAATAAATTCTTGTCTGGTAGTTTTGGTTGAACTACCAGACAAGTAGTTCATTGTTTGACCAATGTAAAACACCATTGTTTGACCATTGTTTGACCAATGTAAAACAATGTTTTGGAAACCTAATTCAAAATTTTGTTGTTGACAAAAATTATGCAATGTGGTGTAAATCAAAAATCTTCTCTTGTTTCTGCCAATTTAATCTCCATCATGTATATAAATGTGTTATTTTTGTAATTTGCACCACAGTATTCACAGTTTACTTTTAATCCCGGATGTATCCTGATTTATCTGCGAGTGGGCTTGTTTTCTTTGTCACAAATCTCTTAATGATCTAACACACTGTGATTTTAATCTCCAGTTTTTCTGACTCACTCCCACCATCTGCTTTCATCTTTCTCCATCACTTCTCTGCCACTCTTATTTTTAATGCTCCATATCTCCCTTTTCATCCTGCACCCCCCTTGATTTGTCTTGCTTCTTGTCTTTCTCTCTCCCAGCATGTTGTGTGCACATACATGAGAGAGGTAAACCTAACGGCTGCTCAGCCAGATGGTGTTTATTATCAACCTTTGTAATTTATATCAAGCGGGTATAAAGACAACAATTATTTCAGATTTCTTTTTATCTTTATTCTCTCAACTTTTATTATGCACGGTTGGTCAAAGTATTGTTTGAAACACATGCAAAAATAATAGGACCACAACAAAGAGTATTATTCAGTTACAACTCAATGATCAAACTGAAATGTCTAGAACCAGAAACTGGACTGACTGGAAGCCATTGGAAGCCATTCAAGACTGGACAGACTTTTGCAGATCATGACCTGTAGTCTCAGCAGACAGAGAAGAAAATGTTCTGGGATAACAATTTTTCACTTTGCTGATTATCTCTAGCCAAAAATGATGTCACTGCCACGGTTGGGGGATCCTTTGCTCCTGGAACCAGCCAGGCAAAAAGCGTCTTTCATTCCCGTTATTCTGTGGGCTTCAAGTATGATCCACTGGGGGGAAAAATGTGCAGAGCAACATTTTATCCATCTACCCTTCCATACATTCTCTAAATGTTTATCTGGGTCAAAGCCCCTGGAGCAACAAGGCAAGCTGAGCGGCTTCAAGCCCATCAGTCATTTTCTAGACAATTCTTGGCTTTACCCCAGCAGATTGGAATAAAGATAGAAGATAATGAAGACCACACATATCTAATATCAGGACAAAAAGTTAATTTACATATTAATAGAAAACAAAATGTGTGTTCTAAATGTTTCTTGCTCTCTGACCAGAAAATAAAAGCTCTTTCTTTTGACGTTATTAAAAGGTCTCTTCACAGAAAAAGTGGATTAGAGAAACCGGTCTTACTTTCTGAGTGAGGATGAATCCTTGAAAATAATTTGTAAAACCCATCAGATTTTAAGTATTTTTTTATATCAAACTCTGCCCTTCAAATGATTTATACACACAAATATCATATGATATAATATTTTGAATGGTCACAGCCATTAAAACTTTATTGTGTTGCATTGGGTTTTAATGCAACACATATAAATAACTATGAAATGGAATGGAAAAAAACATAATTTCAAAAAATATTCTTAAAGAAAATCTGAAGTGTGGAGTGCACTTGTGTCAGCCTATAAACTACCAGCTATGTCATTGCAAGTCACTGCAAAGGTTTACATGCAATAACGCAAAGGACAATGAGGACAGCAGGAAAGCTGGTTGCTCAGACAAGAGATTACATAAAAATATCCAGATCCAATATATCCTAAACATTGTCTGTTGTTTCTGCTGATCTCGGGAACCTGGCAATAAAACATTTGAAGCAGAATAACCTCATCTGAGTTATTTTATAGTGCTGAGTTATTTTATTTTGACAATAAGAAGATTAAATCCTTTTATGAAAGTTTAGTTCTTGATTTGTGCTTGAGTAGGCTCAATGTTTAAATCGCATCTATTAGTTATTATAGACTTTTTAGAAATATATTGTCGATCACGAATTAGCTACAAGATGCTCTTTAGTTATGCACTTCTAAAAGGAGTCAAAAGAGCTCCACAGAACAGCTGAGTTTGCATTAGATGTTCCCTGGAGGGTAAGTTGAGGAGGGTGAGCCAAAATAACCAGAAGACAAACAACCTTTTCAACTGCATCTTCTTCCAGTAATTCCTCTGTGACAGAATGTTGGGAACTTTAATTTCTAAACCTGTCATCCATATGCTTCAGGGTCTGCTCTAGGTTTTCCGACCTGCCTGAACCATTCAGCACCAGAGACGGGAGGGAACATCCTCATGTTACCCTCTATCTGAACGAAGGGAATCACATCGGCCCTCCTGCTGATAAAACATCTTTTTCTCTCACTAGATGAGAGAATAAGCCTGGAGTCCTGGTGAGTGTCAGAAGAGAAGATCGATCAGTTTTTTTTAATTTATTTATTTTTTTATTAAAAGTCTTCGAAAGTCATAAATGCTGCTAGTCACTAATGCTGCTTCAAAGATGAGATCATCAGCGTCTCTTTTCTGTTTCTGACAGAACATAGCTCGATGTACAGGTTGAGTAAATTTATAACAGCTACAGTTCTAAATCGAATTTCAATAAATAAGGTTTAGTAAAAAAAGGAATCTGCAGGTGACAGTTGTACCTCTGATTCACATTGAATTTGAAAATAGGTTTTTGTTCAGAGTTTCTGACTTACTGCTCTTTCAACTGATCAAAACCCATCTTACACATAGTCTTCAAGGTTGCTGGTCTTTATTCCAAGAGCACTTCAAGAAGAGTGACTTTTTTCAGTTGCAGTCAGTTGCAATCCTTGTTCATTTGTCATTCTCTTTAAAGCCTTCAAAAGGTGAAACGTGTGCAGCACAATTAGAAATAAATTAAAGAGATATGTCTTTTTCATTTCTATCAATTTAAACATCTAACAACCCCAATACAACCAACATCTGCAGAAGATGTCAGGGTCAAAAGTGAAAACGTGATAAATTATTTTTAGCTTGAGTCTGGTTTAAAACACCTGATCCCAGACTTCATCTCCAATTTATTTCTCTGGATGTTTCTCCAATAACTCCACAGGAATGTGGCTGAAAAACACTTAAAAACATAATGTGACAAAATGATTTTTACTTTGCCGTTGTGACCTCCCCCCCTAGAGCGTCTGTCAACATTGAATTAATCCTTCTGTCTTTGGAGGTCGTGACCCTCATATTGACCACAGCAAACCCAGCAGGTACCCCAGTCCAGTGAACCTGACAGAGGCCCACATCCTTCCACAAACAGTTATGTCACCATCTATGCTTCCAATCCCACTTTGTGTCGCAGACGAATTGTTTTTACACATTCACAGGTGGTGTCTGAGTTATTTTGACAGCCAAGGAAGCCTTCATTTGTCCCTGTGAGTTATCATACTGCCAAAAAACAGCGATAGGAATCAGTGTTCTGCTCTTGGAGAGGAGGAAGGCAAAATAGGGCAATATATCCAGGATCATATCAGCCTGGGAGACGAATCCTGTGACACAACAGCCCTCGTATGCCAACGCAGAGATGAAGGTCAGAGATACATGACTACAGAGCAATCAGAACGCAGTGAAATAAAACAGAAACATGTCAGCCTGTCCTATCATGTTATAATAGTGGCACAAAACTAAATTGAAGGGAGTTGCAGGGGGAGAGGGGCTGTAGGAGAAGGTGGCTTGATTGAAGTGACAGGTGACAGGCCAAAAATGATCATTCTCGAGGTAATATGGAAATGCAGCACAAATATCCTGCTACACAACAAACACTTTAGCTCCGACTTTTAAAACCAAACAGTCAAAGCTGGTCAGTTGCAGACCCTGACCAGCGAAACACTAAAAAAAGTTTTTATCTTTTCACATCTCATTACTACCCTCATGTTGTAAAATTAACAAATAACCTTCCATTTGGAGTATTTTTCTTTCAATGTATGTAGACATTAAGAGAGGAAACAGAGTTAATCTCCATCTATTGAGGGAAATCCAGAAAGCTTGGATTCATTTTATGGTTAATTCAGCAGTAAAACATAAATCAATTGTTGACAAAACTGCCAAAGAACTTAAGTATATATGATAACAGCAGCAGCCAAATTATATGTTTGTTAAAATTGCTTTACTTATGTTAATATTGTTGACTGATACTGACTATCAGTATCACTCAGGATGATTAGGACGCCTTCTCTTTGTGACATAATAAATGTCAGCTGCAAATGTCAGCAGCTCGGAGGCAGCAGAGTGTCCTCTGTGGGATGCACTGAGTCTTTGTCGTGATCTGCTGAGTTCTGGCACCGGTGGAGCTTTGCACAGAAAACCGAACAGGAGGAGCTTTCGGCCTTTTCTAGTCACACGCTGCCCTGCTTGGCAGGAAAAATGAAAATGTCTTCCTGTGAGGTTCAAAGAGAGCGGCTCTCACAAACACTTCCGGAGACATCCAGAGGGCTCATTTCCACTTTAGCTGGGAAGGTTTTCACACCTTTCATTTTCTGAGAGGATGTGTATGACAGTAATGTTCAGGGCAAAGTGGAGTAAGAGACAAAGGAAGGCAAGAAGAAGAAGGGCAGATCCCTTCCCCTATAGTGACTTGGCAGTTGATGAGACAAGGATTACTGCTGATTTTCTCTCACAGAGAGAAACTACCTGGTGGTACAGCTGGACACAAGAACCCGTTGTTTCTCCTCTTTATCTATACATCGCTCTGTTCCGCCATCATAAGCCAATTTTCAGGGAAATTTAATTAAAGTGCTCAATGAATGTACTTCCCTGTGAAAAAAATAAACAAACCCAGTCAAAGCCTTTTAAAGGCAACATTATGTAATTTTCACCTATTTATGGTCCAGTGTTTGTTCCTAAATGTCTTTTGAAAGAACATTCTCAGCTTGGAGGCAGAACATACCAGCAAAAGAGTGTAATTAGACACTGTTTGAATGAAGTGTTTTAACTGCTGAAAACAAAAAACAGACTCTGTATACATATGTCTTTTAAATACTGTTTACAGTGAAAGGGCCACATTTTTAACAGCAGAGAAATAGCTAAAATCACTCTGACCTGATTCTGTCAGACGACACACAGAGGCAGCAGGATGTTAAGCCAACAAGCAAAAACCACAATTAAAAAAGAAGCAAACAAAAGAATGTGATTACGATAATAGATGTACCTGCAGGGCAGTACTGTAAACCGGAATATGGCTTTCAAAAACAAACTCATGCACTGACACTATTATGAAGAGCTGGGATGGTTGGTGGCTAAAGATGGCGATCAGAGTCTTTTCACTGGACTAAAATTAATCAAGCCTAAATCTTGCAAGACGAAAAGTTACAAAAGCTAGTGAGCGAAGCCAGATTAACTTCTTTTGAGGCATAGAACAGCAGGAATAGGAGAGAAGACATAAATTACAAATGTATGGAGTTTAAAAACGTTGGCTGTCTTTACATATAAAATGCATAATTCCAGTTAGTATAATCTCAAAACACATACCTTATACTAATCTATACTAACATCACAGATATATTGAAAAGTTTTTAAAAAAAACTTTAGCTTGCATATCTATTAAAGACATGCAAAAATACTGTTATTGCATTAGCAAATCTTGCACCAAAAAATAAAAAATTCAATCTTACTTTGAGCACATTTATTCGGAAAAACACTAATTAATACCACCACTGCTGTTAATACTTTTTACAACCTACTTTCCCATTCACAAAGCACCTAGTTTTCTCCAACAATATCATTCATGCCTGGAAAGTAATTAGAGATTACACACACACACACACACACGCACACACACACACACACCCCCACACACACACACACACACACACGCACACACACACCCACACACACACACACACACACACACACACACACCCACCCACATGGATGAACATTTTTGCAAAGGTTCCAATAGTATATTCTCCTTATGAAGAATATTTTCTGTCTACAGATCTAGAAATTCCACAAGTTTTAAACTTCAAATTAAATCGAAAAAATAAATACAAGTACCACAATAACTCCAGTGAAGCAAAAGTTAATTTTCTTCCTTTCACTCTTAGGTTCCAACATTACTTAGCATTGCAGCCCTTTGCTGACCTTTAGAAAATATCCTACATCACATTATAAGGCTGTTCATAAAGATGGATGATGATTGTGAGCTGTTTGTTTTCTGCAGCCCAAACCAGAGCTCCAACAGTCAGCACTCTGGTGGAAGTTGCAATACACAAAATGTCAAATATAAATTCCCTCCAGTCGCAGGAGTTTAATGTCACACAGAGCCAGAGTCGGAGAAACACGCTATGATCTATGAGGAGCCATTACTCGGTGATCAGTGCATGCTCGTTTCTGGAGCTTCATGCAGTTAGTTTTCTATTCTTTCTTGTCAAATTTAGCAGCCTGTAAAAATAAATATTAAGGTATTTTAAAACCTTGTTTTCTTTAACGATCGTTAGCCTCTTATCTGAGATGGTTACTCTTCATCAGAACTCAAAGTTCATTCTGCTTTTCTCATCAGTTCTGCTACCTTGATTGATACTGTGGTGTCCACTCACCTACAATGTCGTACTGCAGAAAGTCAAGATATGTCTCTATCGCGATGATGCCCACCATGTGAGTGACAGGTTCTGTTTCTATGACAGCGAAGTTGAAGTGAGGCTCTTCGAATGCGATTGGTTTGCTGGATGGTGGTGGACGTCGGACCCACTCAATATCGAGTCGAGTTGTGGATAAGCGAGGAGGGGTGCCCTGATCAGTGGCTTTGATCTGGAAAGGTACAGAAAATTGACTTAATCTCATTCTGTGCGGACCAGAAAAAAAATTATATTTGGATGATGAACAGGATTTGATTTTAATTAACTGAAACTGAGAAATTTGAGGAGTTCTGAGAAACAATCATGTCCTTGAGGAGACATCTGGAAATAATTAATTTAACGCCATTATAGCTATTTTATAATAAATGTAGTATGTGTGCGTCTGGTTTAAAGCAGGTGGATAGTGACATTAGAATGTTTCTGCTTGCAATCTAACCTAAATGACTTCCCAACATTAAACAGCTATTGCCAGCTGATATCTGAAAATCCAATTTTTTTTATGTTAATAAACAAATTGTTATTATTGAAAATCTGGCCATTGTAATGTTAAATTACAGCAGCATGTTATCTCGACAAAATTTGCATTGGTAATTAGAAATAAAGCAATTCTCTGTATTTTTGTTTCTGTAAGTAACTAAGAAAAGTGTAAATCATGGGTCTCTGTTACATTACCATACTTATGTAAACTTTAAAAAATTCTCACTGCTACTGAACATGTAGTGGATGTATTGCAAGATAATAGTACATTTGCTGCTGTTTCACATAAAACACTTAAAACTCTGAAAATATAAAAATCACATTTTTATTAACAAAGCATTTGACAGCCATGTATCATTGTGCGTCCACTTTCCAAGCAAGCAATACTTTCTATTGACCGGCTACATAAAGTCACAGTAGAATACATCTATGTTTTGGTTGGAACATAGACAAATTTGAAAATGTCCCCTTTTTTAAGGAATTGTACTCTGAAAGTCACACTCATACAGCTAAAGGCTGTGTAATTCCTAACAATGCAAACAACATGGGACACCTACTGTGAGGATGCTGTAGTTTCCTGGCCAGAAATCTCCCTGTGATGTCACCACTCCAGTCAGCGGGTTGATGTGAAACCGCTCATCGGCGCCATCCTGAAGCTTGTAGGTGATGGCAGCATTAGAGCCCTCGTCGTCATCTCGTGCGACCATCCTGCAGACTTTCTTTTTGCCGTCACGTTTGCGCTGTTCCAGCACTTTGACTTGGAAAAGTTTGTCAGTGAACTTCGGCCGGTTGTCATTGGTGTCCAGGACCTGGATGATAACTGTGGCAGTAGACTGCAAAGGTGGAGATCCATTGTCTGATACGATTACCTGAAAGAGAAGAAAAGCTAGGTTTAATGTTTTGATATTTGTTCAAATTTTAAACCTAAATTGTTGAATTAGATAGAGCTTTTTATGTTTTTGGTTCTTTGGTTATTTAGAATTTTTTATGTGGTCTGTTTAATTTGTTTTCATATTTGCCATGTTCAGTATAATTATGCTAAGGTGTAATTTGAAAAAAATAACTAAGGATTGTACAAATCATCCATTAAACAAGAAGATGAAAACATTTACCATACATTTGCATATCAAATATATATTAATTTAAGCATCTCCTTATTTGTGAAGAACTCAACCTCAATGAATATTCTTTGGGTAACTCATTAATTTGCTGCATAAACATAATCAAGTTACAAAAAAAGTAGGATGTCTTATTTCAGAGTCAAAACATTGATATGGAGGATTAATCAGTCATTTAGCTGTTTTCCAACACAGAAGCTCAAGATCAATATTAAAAGTAAAGACATTTCCAATCAACAAAAGTTAGCTTGAACATCTGATGTTCCTGTGAATATAAATTGCCTGCTCTGATAGATTTCAGTGTGTTGCTGAATAATAAGTGAGTTTAAAAGGACACCTCGATGAATTCAAACAATGATCTGTTGCTGCTATCACACCTCCCTACAGCTGATTAAAACATTCCAACTGGATGCCGTGTTTTCTGCACACAAGCCTGCTGCTTTTCTGTAGACGTGGGATTAAAAACAGGAGGTTAAACAGGCAGCAGCTTGCCTCTAACAGCCCGCAAAACATAGCGTGTCATGGATTTATTGATACTGTGGTACCTCAATGCATTACAGAGTAGCAGGATTTTAGTGTAGGTTTGAAGATACTCAAAATGTTCATGGGAGTCTGACCTCGATGCTGTGCTCGGGTTTTTCTTCGCGGTCCAGAGCAGAGTGTGTGCTGATAACACCTGTGAATACAGACACAATAAGTGTGGTAAGTGTAAGTCCAGAAGAGTGAGAGTGGAAATTACACCTAAATAAACAAAGACAGGTGAAAGTTATATGTGCACATTTGTGTTTTGCCTGGGGCAGAAAAACAGAGCCAATCACACCTGAATAAACACAGTTTATTTTATGGGTACATTCATGTTTGCTTGCTTTAAAGTTTGTTTATGTGTGAAATAAAAAATATGTTTAGGTTTGAAGGTCATGTTTGTATTTTAAAGAAAAAAATAAAGCTAAGCACCATTTTAGGACTCAAAAGAAAACATTTGAGTAATACTATTCAAACCAGATATGCACTTCCACACAAAAATAATTAAATAGCATTTGTACCCACAAAGTCTGGAAACTTCTCATTATTTAATATTGCAAAACAATTTTTTTATTTTTTTATTTATGTATTTACAGTTTCCAAATAATCCTTGTATAAAATGCTTATAACTAAAGCATGTCAGGACATTTCCATTTTGGATGGAGTCCAAAAGCATTTTGTATCATTTTATAGGAGCCTCCCTCTATTCAATAGATGTTCCAAATGGCTATTATATTAATATTATAAACAACAAAAGAAAGGTTTCCTTAAAAAGAAAAGCCTTTTTTAATTTGAATATATCAAATAAGGCCCCCCTTCAAAAGGGGAACTTTATTTTTTGCCCCCTTATTGGAGACAAAAAAAATAAATTGACAGAGCATTTTCAAAGCAGGAAATATGGATGAACTCAGCACAAACAACAGACAAAAAGGGTATTTCTTTTCACCAACCAAAACCAGTTTCTCCTGTAACAAACTTCTTGTGTTCTGGGATTGTGAAACAATCAGAAACTTGGTTCCTTGCATCCAATTGGATGCAAAAAGACAAACCACAGTCAGCCAGTAAAAATAACTTGGGCAAATATTCCGCAGCAGATATTGTGAACATAAGGGCATAAAGAAAATTTATTCTTTTATTATTTTTTTTCTTACTGTGTGTCCAAAGATGTTATTAAATCAGTAGCTACACTCTCTAAGTAATCTTGACACAATGTGAAAGAGGCTTTGTCCAAACATCCAGTTATGAGAAAACTAATTGTAGACAGCCTGTTGCTTATGTAAAACTGCCACTTTGGAGAAATACAGACCAACGAGGCTCATGGAGCCTCTGCACTGATGCGCTTGTGTTTTGGGTTTGATCATTTCTTTTTCCATATTTCTCAATTTTAAATGCGGAAATAATAAAACTCGAGTCAGCTTGAAGGTCTAAAAAATTAAAAAAGAAAAGTTGAGATGAAAATATACATCCTTTTATAAAATAATTGTTTCTCTCTCAACTTCCTGTGCATTGTTAAGCTTGACTTGTGATATGCTAGTTAAGTAACTACTACATTTTTTACATGGGACATCAGTTAGATTTTTTTTCCCAAACTGTGCATCTTAAATGTTGTAGTCTTAATGAACTGCTGGCACCTTAGCTTACGTTTCTGTGTACGGTAGTCTGTATAATTTGCAGATCTCTACAGACCACTATAGAACATTTCAAGTAAGCTCAGCATCTAGATTAAGTGATCTTAGCTAAAAGTAATATAATTTCTATAATCACTGAATCTTCATCAACTGGTTATACATGAAACATGAAAATACAATATCCATCATTGTATCAAGTATTATAATTGCATTAAAAACAGGTGGTCTTAGCTTTGTAGTAAATAAGTTAATGATTCTCAAGCCTTTAAAATATGTAGACATTTAAAACAAATAATTATGTAAAATGTTGTCTTTATACTGAAACATTTTTTGATTCAGGACTTCAGTGTCCGTGGCAAAAAAAGTATCTTTGGAAAATGTAATTCCTTGAATATGTTAGTGAAAACGTCTTTTTCACAAGTGGTTCAATTTTCACCATTTCTCTGCATATGAGGTGTTTAGTAATCAACTGATAAGAGACAGCAAGCAGATGGAAAATGTGAAATCGTCGCAGGGACTCTGCCCAGATGGCTTTGGCAGGAAACACAGTGAGAACTTTAATCCATCAACAAAATTTATCTGAACTGCTTCAGAAATTGTCTTCCCCATTACATTTTCGGAGGTTAGAGGAGTCAGTCTCACAATTTCCGCTACTTACTCCCCGACTGATAATCCAACAAAAGGAGACAGAGGCAGGGTTTGAACTTTGCTCCCACTCTCAGAACAATTTTTAGGAGAACAATAGCGATCACTGTTGGAATGTTTACCACTTCTGTTCCCTCTCTAAACAAGAATGACATGCACAATAAGTTATGGACAATTAAAGCTGTTTAATCTCAGATTTTAATTTTACCTTATCTGTTTATTTTTGTTTTCGTTTTCTTTCTTACTTTTATTTTTCATCACAATAATTTACAAACCAGGTATTTAATCTGTCTTTTCACACTAACTACATGGAAGTGTAAATTAGATAATTTTGACAAAAATGTAAATTTGTTAAGGCAGTCTTAAATTCTAAATAACCCATTTAGACAATTCATCACCAACAATGTTTTTATTTGGTGTTAGTTTCACTTTAAAGACATTCAAACCTTGAAATATTAATATATATTGTAACCTTGCTGTGAACTTCTCTCTAAAACATCTCCAAGAACTGGCAGGGGTGTTCCTTGGTCTTTATTTTGCTATTTGTTCACTAATATTCTCTAACAAATCTCAGCTGTCTACTCAGACAGCTGAGACTATAAATTATAAAATTATTTTTAAAAAAATTGATGATTGGAATAGGAATTGTTAAAATGTTAGAGAAGTATTCAAACTGTAGACACAGGGAAAACAACCTTGACATATTTGCGACTCTCGGCTGTTTGAATTGCTAATGTAAACAGACGAAATGTCAGGATCAACAGCTGCCCTTAGAGACTCCCCCAACATGTTTGGTCAGACAGCGCCAAATGAGGTGCAGGCGCTGTTATGTGAAGGGATATTTAAGAGGTCAAAAGTGGAGTGAAAGGCCTGTTGAGAGTCGTTCGGCCCTTTTACGACAGTGAAACAAGCCCAGCTGAGAGGACAACAAGACAGGTGGGTCACATGAGAAAGCGTGTTTCTCTCAGTAGGAAAGACATGGGGATTGGGGGTAAAGCTTCATCTGTCCCACATTGCCTGTTTTCACTCAGCGACACTGAAGGCCTGTCAGAACCACGTGAAGATAAACAGTGCTGCCTGAGATGTCAGCGTCCTGTTTGTTTGTTTCCTCATCTTCCTTTGTCAATTCACAATGATCTGCAGCTCCGAAACTGCAGCTTCTCTTCCTTTTAATACCTGTATATATTTACTGAGCTTCATAAAATTCTATTTTATTTTTCTGAGCATGTTAGAATGATCAGAGAGTCATTTCAGTGATTTAAGACTGCAGAGCAAGTGTCTAAATCCACTGCTTTTGGTTTGAAAAGGGATACTCTATGATAAGCTGAGAATGCAGAAATCCCTCAATAACAGTCATGTGGGTAAACAAGTCCCTGAAAAGAGATGAGGCAAGAATCATTGCTGCCTGCAGGAAATAGCGATTTAAAAAGAACAATGCTGAGCTGCTATCCCTGAGCAATAAAACATTCACAGCTTGACTGCTATCTGATCTGAAGCAAAACACTCTATTTTTCATGATTTAATGCAGAATTTGTACATTCACTGAAGTAATTTTCAACACAGAGACTGTTTCAAGGTTAATTCACAAACACAATGTGAACTTTATGTAGTTTCATGTTTAAATCTCAGAACTATACATGCATTATATCACCTGGAAAATTGTTCTCAATGATCAAACATGGCCAGTGATAAAATGCCCAATTGGTGACCATGAGGAAGTATTGCCAAACATGGTGATCAGAAGCATCTGTTCCCTATAAGGTACAAAACTCTCTGGATAATCTGGATGTAAGAGCTAATTCAAACAGACCCAGAACAGTAAAAAAGTTCAACTTTAGTAGATTAAATAACAACTAATGAAAGTTCAGAATGTTCTCATAGTATAATCTGAGAAGCACACTGCCATTATGTGAAGTATCCGTGGGAATTTCAAAAGCAACTTGCAATAGAATCTTTGTTTGTATCTTGGCCTTCATCTGAGCCGACTGTCTCTTCAGCCACATTTCTACAGATATTTCTGGATGTCACCCAGAACAAAAAGACACTACATTATTTCTCCATTTTATTTTACCTGAGAATATTCATAAGACATTGCTGCACATAAAAAAAAATCTAAGAAAATAACGTTAAGACGTTTTTTATAAAGACACTCCTCAAATGGATTAAGGCCTCCACCATAACATTCGACATATGGCAAAATGTTATTGGCCTCTGGAGAGTCTCAAGGACGTCTTTTGGTGCATTTAAAGGCAGAGTGGGCTCCCCATTAAACATGATATCCTGTGAGAGTTTCAAGAGGTTCAGGAGTAAGGCTCGTGGCAACTGGCGGAGCACATTTGTTCTGCTTTGCTTCCATCTCTGTGCCACAATCTGCAGCGGTCTCGTGCCATCCCTAAAAAGATAACCCCTGAGTCAATTGCCCGTATTGCCAATGTCAGAAACCACCACTGTTTGCACCAACGGTAAACACTCAACTACCAACTGAACACTGACCAAGGAAGCAAGAAGTAAACAAGCACAAGCCACACACCCTAACTGTTCTCACCCTCCTCCTGCTGTAACATCTGCCACCTGGACAGGTGATGAAAACAATCAAAGTGCAACGAGCATGCTGTGCTTTTATTGTTTTGTGCTCTTCTGTTCTGTTTATGTTTTATTTATTCGCTGATTAAATAAATATCAATACATTTATATATATAATTCAGTAGAATTATAATGGCTACTGCAGTACGCAGAGCGTTACAGGAATAAAGAACGGTTCTGTTAGGTTCCAGTTCTCGCTTCTTCAGTAAAGAGCAGTTCAGAAGAATCGGATCGTTCGTGAATGTCACGTCACTTTGGTCAGAGTGTCGCTCCATATCTGCAACATCAGTCAACACCTCCGCACGATAATTCAGCGCAGTGAGTGACGTTTTTTTTTTTCTTATCAAATCCAATTTGTCACTGTACAGCTAGCTTAGCTAACATCACGTCCACAGAGCCTACCTTTCTTTGAGCTTCTTTGAAGTGATGATAGTCCCCACAGTGTGTGAAAGCGAATCAGATTTCTTATGATTTATGCAGCGAGAGACTAACACTTAAGACAGAAACCACTGCGCATGTCTGGTCACGTTATTGCTTGAGTTTTAATCGGTATGTTTTGCATCCAGCGAAAACAAAGCTGTTAAAATTTAGTGATATTTCCACAATTGTGTTTTTTTGTCGTTTGTTTGTTTTTAAAACCCGAGTCACCAATGCCCGAGACAAGACCGAAACCATCAAAAAGTGGCCTGGAGACCAAGACCGGTCTGTTACAAAGAACGTAAGATAGCCGTTGTTGTCGTTAATTTTATTGCCGAGTGCTTTTACTCGGACATGCCCGTTAAACACGCTGGGCAACACTCATGAACGCCAGTAGTATATGATTTTATGGCAGATTCAGCTTGTTAGTTTGAGCTAACGGCAACCTAAGCGCGCTAACGGTCCGCCGTCAGTTTTCTTCGCCCTCACCACGAACCAATGCAAAGCAACTACAGCGCCCTCTGGCGGAATGGGAGGAGTGACTCCAACGTTGCACCCGATAAAAGCCATGATTAAAGAGTGGTGTGATGTTCGTTGGGGGCGGGGAAACAAACATTTTTTTATGTAATTTCCTGTAAATGATCAACTTGATAAAATGCTGATGACATTTTCCATTCTGCTTAAAGCTGAAAGTGATAAATGCACAGAAACCTCCCATATGAGGAAATCTTACAATACAACCATCCATATTCAGCTGCAGCAGAATCACTGTGATACAGCGGCCCGGACAGAAAGCATATCTGCTTGAAAGTATTCAGTTTTTCAAGTATTAATAAACAATGAGCATTTTGATTGCCTTTCCTTCGAAATATGCCTATAAACATGGATCACAGGATATATTGAGATGTTTATGGTGTTTCATGTTATTGGTTAATATGTCTTGCCTTGTTGTTCATACTCATTTTAAGAGAAGCCTTGAGTTTCTCATATTTTGACTTTGGGGTTCATGGATGTTATGATAATAACATTATCTCACCATTTATCAAAATGATGAAAACCAAAAAATGAGTTACTTAATTGTTTCATTTAAAATACAAACTGTGGTATTAAATTTAAATATAAGCTTATTTTCATTTATAAAATGAGCAGACATTTAAAAAGTGTCTTAAGTTTCTAAAAACTTTAAAATTTTATTTTATAGCAAAAAATATTATCAAAAGATATTTAAAGATAATCTAATCTCAACTTGAGCAAGGAATGTATGCTTTCCCCAATGATGTCACTATGACAATGTGATGTATTAAAAGAGATATTTTTGTTTGTCGAAACTCAACAGAATTCTCAATATGTATCTATCTTACTTACTTTTTAATCCATATGTGCTTTGTGGTGAAAAATAAGCCAGAGGTGCATAGTATAAGTTTTGAGTGTACACCCTAAAGAACTATGTAATCATCCTGACAAAGTAATAATTGTTGTTCTTAGAAAACTCCACCAGAAAAGGACATTTATTATCTTTAGTATTCAGTAGCTTATTACACATCTGTTGACAAAGTTATGTGGCAACAGAAATAAAAATATGAGCTGAAATACCACTAAGTTTCAGTCTATACTTAAAGTACACCAATGTGTTGCTTGTAAATTGACCTGAAACAGTTATTGAACTGCAAAGCTACAGTTGGTAATGTGCTATGGGTCTTTTCACGGGGTTACTGACAACAAGAAAGCACAGGATGAGAGATTCACCTTTATGCAGGCTTATGTATCAAATGTCAGATACAAAAACGCATCAAAATTCACCCCTTATCAGTGAATGAATCATAAACTTTCTTTAAAAGTTTGACAAATATGCCGTTTCAAAAAGGTTAATGAAATGGGTACATTCCAAACTTGTCTGGCCTTGCCAGTGCACAACTGCTTTATCACATAATGAAACATATACCAAAGTGGTTTTCTTATGAAGCAGCAGCTTTGATTGTCAAAACTTAATGTGTGATAATTGTCTCTTTTTTTTGAAGCACAACTCATTCCTGCCTGACACTAAAAGTAATTCTTGGCTGAAACCAACAGACAATGCTGCTGTATAAAATATGCTTCTTAGTCAAAAGCATTAGATGTGAGTCATTTCTATCCTGTCAGAACATGAGAGGTTTCTGCACAACTCACCCCATGCATTAGTAATAGGCGGTTTATCTGTGAAAATAAGACAAGGTGGATCATGTTCCAAAGATCCTTTTTCAACAGATCATTTATTTCCCTCATAGTGACTGTATCTACCTAAATTCATGTGGTTTATTCACATTTGTGGATGTAAAAAAAGTATTAATCATTTTAATTTTTAGTTATTTTTCCATATCAGAAAACATAGTTTTCATGGCAACTGAGCAGATGAAAGTAGTCACACAATTACATTTGATTATGTTTTTCTGAAACAAACAAAACTAAAATTCTTTTCTACTGCAAAAATATATATCCAGTTCAAAGTAGAGTTCCAACAAGTTAATTTGATTTCCAAGACATGATTTAATGACATAAGCGAAACAGTTTTTTTTTACCCTAATTTTTCATTGACCCTGTTTCTACAGGAGTCAATGAAACTGCATTGACTCCTGTCAATAAACAATGAGCATTTTGATTGCCTTTCCTTCGAAAAATGCCTATAAACATGGATCACAGGATATATTGAGATGTTTATGGTGTTTCATGTTATTGGTTAATATGAAACACCATATTAACCAATATGGTTAATATGGTTTTGATGCGAAAGCAAACATGATAGTGTAAATCTGAGAAAATTTTCATTTAAAAGCATATCTATTGCTTTTAAAGTAAGTTTTTGCAAGTAAGTTTCAGCAGATGGTTCACTTGATTTACAACTTTTGGAGTAGTTTTACAAAATGATGCTGGCACCAGCATGTTTTACCATAGGGACAGTCAGTATTTGTACGAGTGGAGTTGTGTCATACTCTCTCCAACTTAAAGATAATAGATTGAACAGAGCCCTCTCTGTGACATGTTTAAAGCTAATTTTACTATCCCATAACTCAGTTCTTTAAATGTCTTCTTAACTTTCGGATCTGATCTCTGCTGTTTTCCTTGGTGTCCATTATGCTCTTAATTTAAATTTCACACAGTTGACTCTATCTACTAATTAGGTGACATCTGAAGGCAGGTATTGCTAGTGCAATCAGTATAAGATTGCACTAGCAAAGACGAGTGAAATAGAAACACATATCATAAGTTTTAGATTTGGAAAAAAAAATTATTATAACAAAATAAAGTCCTGTATTACATAAATATGTAGGTCTGTTATTTTACAAATATATTAGTTGTGACAACACAAATACCCAAATGTTCAAGGAGTATGTATTTTTTGTAAAGGCATTGATAAGGGTAAAATTAAATTTATTATTAATGCCTTGGGTTTGTTTTCACTCTAGAAACCCCTTGCATTTTAACAAAACTGTTTACACTTCAGATAGCATTTTATAAGAATTCTACTCAGAAGTTAGAGTGAAAGTTTTAGTTTAGTAGCTTTTCCGCAGAGATTCTGGGTCAGATCCGATCAAATGATCTCAGACCAGACTTGACGTTAGGAAATCCTCAGTATACAGAAATACACAGAAACACAATGAACGCTTTCAACCAAAAACACTCTATTCTGTTCTCGTATCTGCAAGTAAATGAATATCAAATACAGCTGCGCTCAGACAAAAAAGGGTCTTTCCTGGTGTGACACAGCAGAACTGTTTCGACACCTACAGCTCGGCCTGTCTCCTTCTCACCACAACTGGCCTTCTCTTTGTGTAATCCCTCAGTATATTAGCCTTAGGGTGTGGACAAACAGCACAGCAGATAATAGGAGGAGGACAGGACTTGTAGTAACTTGTAATGTCAGTACTCATGGTGCTATCCCTCGGCTGAACATCAAAAGTCCTCACCAGGTAATTGGATTGTAACTGTCAAGAGTTTGTAGAGATACTAAGAGTTTACTGCGACTTTTTTTTAAAGGTTTTACTTCTCCATCAAAATCATGAAGCAGTAAGTTTAGAAGTGACTGCTACTTTATTTGCTTCCAAGTTTTAATTTCAGCTTTGCTCTCTGTGACACGCCTACCTGCACTGCTCAGACTTGTACAAACAGAAACCTTTCAACAGACCGTTTTGTGAATAATGAAACTCCTGCCAGTCTTTACAGCACCTTGTAAAGACTGTAGCCCCTGAATCAAAATGTGAAACTTGCCTTTGGGATGTGCTGAAACTGTGAGAAATGTCTTTTGAGCACAAAGCAAATTTTAGTTAAGGTGTAAATTATTCATAGCACAGGAGGCCGATATTCTTCCTTAAACTGCATGTGCAATAAATAGATAGCAAATGGAAACATGATTGATTTACACCCTTTATACCACAGTGGAGGTTAATTTGCATGTAGTGAGTTAATTAAAAAAAAACTTTTAGATAAATCATTTTACTTTATAATGTAAAAATAAACCATACCTATTTACCCATCTATCTATTTATGATTACCTGTATCTAAGAAACCAAACAATAAAAATTGAGGTTTGAGCCAGCTTCACCAAACCAACAATATTTTGATTTACAATGTAATACAAAATGGCAGCATACAAATATTTTCATTAATGGAAATAATAATTTCCATGAAATTCATGTTCTTCTTTTTTAGAAAAACATTATAGTGTAAGAATATATTCAGAGCTGAAAATAAATGCATTATACAAGAACAGAACGAAAGGACATCTTTTAAATCTAGGGTGTACTTCAGGGAGAACCACATTGTCTTCAATATTGGAAGAGTTATGCGCTATCCAAACAAATTAAAATTGATTCTGCAGTTCACTATTCAATGTTCCAGCTGTTGGTCTCCATAGGATTGGATTTCCTAGCAAAAAAAAACAGTGCTCAAAGAAACAATAAAAAAGTACAAGATCTCTTAGAACGGTCCAATTTTCTGCAAGGAAAACTGGAAATGAGGGTGTAAGAACAACTTGTTTCAAATAGATAAAGGTGAAGCATATTTTCTCAAATAGTATGCCAACATGACTTAGGTTTGTTGCATTTGAATGAATCACACCACATTAGGAACAATCTTCTTTGAACAAAAAAATACCATATCAAAAGAGTATCTCAGCACAAACACTTTTTTCAACCTGATATCCAATGTGATAAAGGGTTGATGATATGTATGGTCTTTTATTGTCTGTAAATAACTTGGACACCAGAGCTAACCATAAGCCACCAATTATGACACTTAATTGAGGAGTTAAACATAAAACTATCTATCCGACAATTAAAACTTGGGCAATGAACCCAAATGGAGCAGGCGAAGAATGCTTGTTTTACTGCTTAAAAAAGAAAAAAAAAAAAAAAAAAAACGTATTGGCCTGGTCAAGCCCAGACCTTAACATTCCTATGTAGAAGACCTGTTATCTATTAAGATCATAGAGAAAACAACCCCTAAGAAAACAAAGATTATACAAGAAGCTGCATATATTTTCTTCGAATTATTTTTACCTGTTTTTGGATCCACATCAAAATACGTCTTGTGAGATTCCTGCATCTGATAAGAAAGCTTCCCCTCAGAGGTTGTGTCCAAATCTGTGGCCAACACCTGGATGACTGAGGTCACTTTATCCAAGTTTTCCTGGACAGATGCAAAATACACCGGCCGGGAAAGCTCTGGAGCATTGTCGTTAACATCCAGAACCTCCAGAAAGACATGAGTCCAGGCGATCAGAGGCTCAGTTCCCAGATCTGTGGCGTAGACAGAGAGCCAATAATGCTGTACCGTCTCTCGGTCCAGCGCTTCTGCTGTACGAATCACACCTGAAGAGCACGAAAAGATTGAAAACATTATAATCCGTTTTACAATAAATTTTCTTTATTTGTTGTTCTCTTGGGAATAGAAGGGGAAGAGAACTTTTACCATTCCGAGCTAACTAATTTGGACAAAACTGTTTTTACATAAAAATACTTAAAAGTCCATTAAAGGCCATATGAAGAACTGTCAATTTAAACTCACAGGGTGAGAACTCAAAAAATTTAAAAAATTAAAAAGAAGAAAGAAAACAGGTAATAATTCAGCACTGTTTCATCATGACGGAGAACTCCATTTACCCTGATTTTATCTGAACCCTAAGTTCAGCAGCAGGCTACTGGTATGCAAGGCCGATATGCTGCGGGCTCACCAGGTATTTTCCATATGTGAACACATTGATGGAAAAATACCAGAGGAAAAAACAACATTCTCTAATGTTGTTTTTGATGTTGTATCAAAAACAACATCAGGGAATGTTGTTTTTGATACAACATGATGTAAATATTCACTATGTTTATAAATTTACTAGAAATGTGTCTGTTCCTCTGCTACATCAACTGTCACTGAAACATTCTCTCTGCAAGCTCAATTAAGATGCTCTTTAGAGATTTCAATCACATCACTTGAACTTTGTCAGAACAAGCAGCAACTTGGAGCTCAGCTTGCAGGTGGACTGTCTTATAATTTCACGCCTATAAGTGGTTTGAGTCTGGTGATTTTTTAATGTGTGAAAATCACAAATGATAATGAATGGACAAGTGATTTTAACACAATGTGAATTACTGAGTGTGGCAAGCTCTCTTTCTGAGAATTTTCAACCAATTTTTAAATTTTATTGAAATGAGTCTCTTTAACATTACTTCAGTAGCTGCCACATAAAGTACAAAATGTTTGAATATGAATATCCATAAGTATCAGTTTCATACCACAGAATCCATAAAAACTGCTGCAAGTTGTGCAGTGCTATGAAAAACATACAACTGATAGGGATCTGACTGCATGGATTTTACTTGATTGAGAGGATTAGTTTTCATTATCTTTTTAAAGTCAAAATAATAAACAATATTTAGGATATTCTAATGTCCCTTCTTGCTCTACAATGAAGAGGTTGTTGTTTATAACCATGAAACTGATCTTCACTACGAAGAAGAAAGCCTGACAAAATTAATATTAAATAACCAAATAAAATTGCTAGGTCAACAAGGCACTTTAAAAAATACTCGTCCATCAGACTGTATTAAGGTGACACAGTTATACTGTGTACATCGTAAACACAGCTGCAAACAACTGCCTAGGAAAACAATAGATGCTGGCTTGACCTCTCATAGTTGAAGAAATAGAAGCATTATAATTACTGACGATGAAAACATTGGAAGACTGTGTAGTTGGTTTTGATTCTCATTATTTAATTGACAAGCTAATCTCTAAATATTTTTCAATTTACATGCATATGCCAATTGTGATGTTTATGTTGCATTTTCTCATTGCTTTTAAGTTGTTTTTCGTTTATGCTGTCTTGCAGACATGGATTATACTGCAGTATTATGTGACATCACACTGCAGCACTTTTGTCTAATTTAGTGTTATTAATGTCCCACTAACTTTAAATATCACCACCTTTGGAAAAATAATGACCTAAGTCAATTTTTGCCTCGTGATTTTTTTCCCAAAAAAAAAAAAATATGTATTTTTTTAATACCTTTTAGAAAAACCGACTTAGGCCATTGTTTTAGTAACAATGTGGATAACATCTGGCTGAAGAAACTATTTATAAATATATTGGATTTTCTTATCAATGTGATCTTTATAAGACATTCATAGTATTAGTGCTTCAGGCCGTTTCATATTGAACTGATGCTAAAAACTAACTTGACAAAAGTAGAGTGTTTTTTGTTACTCTACCATACAATTTAACAACAAACTCAAAATGTATTTAAAATTGCAACATTTTATTAAAACAGTGGAAGAAAGCTCAATTTATTTACCTGCTTCTTCATCAATAGAGAAAACTCCAAGCCCAGAGCCATCACTGATATGGTATCTGACCACAGCATCTCGACCTACATCTTTGTCTGAAGCCGAGACCATTACCACAGATGTCCCCACTGCTGCATCCTCCAGCACTGCTGCTTCATACACAAACTCTGTGAACACTGGCTTGTGGAGGTTTTCATTGACATCCAGAACCTCAATTTCCACAAAACAGGATGATGACAAGGAGCGAGGGAGGCCGTGGTCCACGGCTTGAACTGTGAGATTGTAAGCTGGTCGCCTCTCAAAGTCCAGCTCACGTTCCAGGGTCAAAGTTCCAGTAGATGAGTCAAGATGAAAGATCCCACTCTCTGTGCTCATTAGTCTGTATGTCACCAGACCTCCACTACCTAGGTCTAAGTCTTCAGTCTCCACCCAGACAAGCAGAGTTCCCACAGGAACATCTTCTGCAACTTTTATATGATAGCCCTTTGGCACAAATTTAGGTGTGTTGTCATTTATATCCTCCAAAATTACCACCAGGTTAGTGGTAGAGAACAACTGAGGACCAAGTCTGGCTTGGTCTGTGGCTCTGATCCAGAGGTCATGTTTGGGAGAGTTCTCTCGATCCAATGGACTCGTCACAATCACCTCTCCAGTCAGTTCATCAACTCTGAACGTGTCAGTTGGAGTCAGGAAGGAATATAGGACATTTCCATTCAAATCTGTGTCAACGTCTACTGCTCTGGCTCTGAAGATAACAGAGTCTTTCTCAGCATTTTCAGGTACTCGAATCACATATCTGTGCTGATCAAAAACAGGAGGGTTGTCATTGACATCTACTACGTTTACAGCGAGGAATTTCCAGGCAGATGTTTGTGGTGTTCCCAAGTCATAAACTGTAATGTTCAGAATGTAGAACTCTTTGGTCTCTCTATCCAGGGGGCAAGCTAAACGAAGTTCTCCAGAAAACGTGTCAATAGCAAAACACCCATCTTCATTCCCTGTTGATATTGCATACACAAGCATACCGTTATAGCCAGAGTCCAGGTCTGTGGCCTGGAACTGGAGAATGGTTGAATTAAGTGTATAGTTCTCAGGAACATCAATAGAACTGGGAATGCTCTTAGCAATTTTGGGAGAATGTCTGTTAGTGATATGGATATCTGAGAAAGACTCTTCTTCTTGGTTGATTAAAACTGGCTTTATTGACTCTATTAGTTTATCAGTCATCTGTTTAAAAATGCCTGTTTCCAAGCAGCTCACTGTTGCATTCTCACCTTTGTTTGTGACAGTTACTCTTACAACTGAGACTTCAGAGTGATGTTTTCCATCTGTTGCAACAACCCTCAGGGTAAATGAGCCCTCCTGTGGGGGAATTTGCTTTTTAAGAAAGATTGAACCAGAAATGGAATCAATGCCAAAGATTTGGGCCTCGTTGCCTGATTCTATTTTGTACTGGAGCTGCTGCAACTCATCTAAATCAATGGCCGAAATCTCAGCAAGTATGTGTCCCACTGTTAAATCAAGCGGTATTGTGATGTTGCAGCCAACTCTTTCAAACAGAGGGATGTTATCATTCAAGTTGTTCAGGGTTATTGTCACGGGGCATTCGCTGACCTGACTGAAGGGGCTGCCACTGTCCGAAGCCCAGACTCTTAGGTGATACCGTCGTTTCATAAGTTCATAGTCTAGGTGTTCAGAGGTTGAGATAATGCCTGTAAATGAATCTATAGTGAAAGGTAAAGGTCCAGAACTTGCAATGGAGTAGGTAACAAAGCCATTTTTGCCTTCATCAATATCTGAAGCAGCAACTTTTAGGACACTGCTGCCAACAGGCATGTTTTCATCCACTGTCGCCTGATATGACGTTTGTCTGAAATGTGGATTGTTATCATTCTCATCAGCAATCTTGATCACAATATGAGTCTCTGCTTCACCATGATTGGCCACCACATCAAATTCATATCGTTTTTTCCTCTCATAGTCAAATTTATCTGCAGTTATGATAATCCCAGTTTTGGGATGGATTTTAAAATTCAAGCTGTCTGGATTGTTTTTGATGCTGAATGTAACATTTTGGTAAAAGAAAGTGACAGAAACTTTAATTACATGAGTTTTAGGAGGGGAAAACTCACTTAAGGTGACAATATAGGTGTCCTCAAGAAATGTTAAAGGCCAATAAGGGCCTGCTGGAATGTGAATTTCTGTAATTGGAGACAAAATGCTTGGAGAGCTCCTATCTTTAGCTTGAAGGGACAAATTCAACCCAAAAGGACTTTGAGACCACACAATTCTCTTTGTTGAAATCACTTGGAAGTCCATGCTTTGCACTCCTGAAGGGATTATCTCAAAACACTGGTGAGGATCCCCATTTACAATATAAAGAGATTCCACAGGCTTGACTCCTGCTTCAACATGGATGCTAATATCTACATCTCCATCTGCAGACACTTTGGGTTTTGGGGGAGGTGTGATGACTGGGAACTCCTTTGGCATCTTTTGTATGTTGACTGTGACTCGAGCAGTGTTTCCAAATTTTTGAATGCCTGATATCTTTTTTGTTCTGTCTTCTGCTAATACTATGAGGTCATATCTCTGCATTCGAGTGTGATTGAGCTTTTTGACAAGGGTGACCACGCCTGTGAATGGATCGACAGAAAATGGATGAGCTCTGCTTGTGAAGGAGTAAAAAAATTCAGCATTGGTTCCAATGTCAGCATCTGTTGCACTGACTTTGACCACACTCGTCTTGAGTGGAGTGTCTTCCCTTATATTCACATTGTACGATGCGGGATAGAAAAGCGGCTTTAAGTCATTAGTATCGAGCACGTGAATAAACACCTTTGTCTTAGCCTGTAATTCAAAAGTGCTTTCTGTTGCTTCCACTGTGAGAGTGTAGCTATCTCTAACCTCCCTGTTCAACAGAGCTGAGTTACTGCTGCGAGTTTTGATCCTAAGGAAGCAGAAATCCCCCACTGATAGAGCCTCTGCTTGGAAAAACTCTTCATCGTCACCTGCAACGATGTTATATTTGATGTCCCACAATAGGTCGTTCAGTGAAATACCCATCTTCACAGGGATCTCAACATACATCCGTGGGGCAGAGTTTTCATTGATAGTGGCATTGTAAAGATGGTGTGTGAAGCTTAACAGAGAGGAGTCTTTTCCTTTTCCCATTAATCCATTGCACTTTGCTACAAGGAGAAATGTCACCAAAGTGAAGAGTTTGGTTCTTGATATTGCCATCCTCAGTACCTCGTTGTCTGACCTCAGACCTGTGAGAAGGAAAAACAGGAGTATTAAAGGATGTATTCGCCTTTAAATGAGGAACAAAAGAGGCTTTGAAGCTAAAACAATGGAGTCCTATGCTCATGTTTGTATCGACTTGTTCATCTGCACATAACACACTTGTAGTCATAACTAATACCCACATTATTATGTATACACGGTACACAGCCACACAACAGCAGAGAGGAGGTCTGTGGCGTGTTTGACTCGTCCTAACTTGCCCATAAAGAAAAACTGTAAAACAAGTAAAACAGAGCAGTGTTTCAGGGCCTTCAAGCTGTTTCAGACAGGTGGCTTCTAGATCCCTTCCTCATAATTATTCCTTTGGAGAACAAGAACTAGAAAGAAAAAAAAACAATGACACAATTCTCTCTAAGCTTCTTCTTTGGCTTCTTGTATTGTTCAATGACTTGGTGCCTTGCAGATGACAGCAAAAGGTTAAGCATGGATCTTATTTTAAATGGCTGTACCAGTAATAGCTGACATGAGTCACCAAACTGCTGCATTCATATCATATTCAACATAAGATTCTGAAATGTTAGACAAAGATGACTATCAGAACAGTTAATATGGACCCCATTGCATAGTGCTTAATTATTTCTTGAAGACTGAACTTCTTTTTAGTTATTGTTCATAAAGCCAATATGCAGCAGGTAGGCATGGCATTCATTGCATTGTGCTTTGATGCTGTTTCATCAACAAGTACTGATAAAAAATCAAAAGACTACCTCCAAAATCTGAATCCTGAAATGTCCCACAGCATTGAACAAATATAAACCTTATGTAATGGTCTGCTGAAAACACTAAACTAAATCAGAGTAAAAGCAAGAGTGGTTCATAAAAAATGATGGACTAAACTTTAAGGTCAGGTTGGTGCCATTGAATCCAAAGCTTTATGAAATGAAATTACATCAGACTTATATAGAGCTTTTGAGAAAAGTGAGAGACTCTTTACATAAAATCAGTCATTCCCATTCAACTACACATTTACATGCCTTAAATCAACTCTACCATTTGTACTTTATTTGTGAACAGCATTGTGGACCCCAATCTATCAAAGTTTTTACTGTATATAACCTTAAAATATTGATGTTAAGATTTATACATTTTTAAAATTGCACTGTAATTAACTACTGTGACATCTTAAGGTTGTTACAGAATCTACTTCTTTTATTAGGTATTATCATGACAAGAGAACTTTTTTTTTGCCAACAAATGAAAAGAAAGGATACGCATATAGAACCAGAGAGGTAGTGAAAAACTAATTTGTAGTTTCACAAAAAATAAACAAAACACTATAATAGCAGAACACCACATGAGCAGGAAGAAGTTAAGCTGTAAAAACATTCATTTTGTTCATTTACAAGGTTTTCTTCTATTATTTGCACACAATCACTCAAAATGCAGAACAATAATTAGAGCAGATCAAAGATTTACTGACATCAGAGGAATGAAACAAAACTCCATGCATTGTATTCATAGTTAAAAAAGCTACCTGACACCACCTGATATCACTCGAGCATCCAGTTATATGAAGAAATGTGACAGAAGCAAACAAAGAATGTTTACAAAAGCCTGTGTCATATTCTAAACCAGCAATCCATGTGGGATCTGAAAACACTGAGCATGCATGTGTTTGACTGGCACTGGTGGTTTCAGTAATGGATTCCAGGTATGTGGGATTTTATCTTGAATCGTTCGCTGACAGGTATTCAGATTATAACCGTCAGGGTGCCACTTGGATTTCAGCTTCTATCTGGAGAATCTTGTCAGCTTAGGGAAAATTGGGCATTTCAGATCTACCGCACAAAACTTTTTCCCCATATATTTTGTCTTTGCGTTACCATCACTTGTAATTCATAATGTTTGCGTTTACATATGACATTGTGCTCCATTTCAATAAGAATTAACGGCATAAATATTCTGTCATTAAATATACAGTATTGAGACTATAGGTAACATATTTTGATGTATATAGTGATGCAAGGCAGATTAATTAAGGAAAGAATTACTGTATTTGGAAATAAACAGCATTATATTTGACGGTAAACTAAACCTGGTTCAAAACAAGTCTTGTAAAACCAGAATACATTATAAAATACTAAATGTAGTTTTAATATTCATCTTGAAATGTGCATTATTTAATATGTATTGATAGACCTTCACAAAACAGTGATGACAGAAGATATATTCATGTATCTGTATATCAACTTTAGATTTAAAATGTATTTTTGACATACAAATAATGACTAATGGTTCTGTACTTCTTGTAATTTAACTTGCCTGATGACAATGCAGGAAAGTTGCTAAAGAGTATTGAATCCTCTTTAGCAACACAATATCACACAGCAGAAATACAAATATTTGTTCAGCTAAAGGTAAATCCTTTAATGAGCAACCAGAGGAGGGTGATTTAAAAAGGAGATGAGGATGGATTACTGTCTGACTACAAACACTGTTCTGTTCAAGTACAATGTACCTAATATCAAACATGTAATGAATCCAACAAATCAGCCCTGTTTGCTTTGTCATCCCTGGCTAATATATGTTTGCTCTCATAAACTGCAAAGGGGTTAGGTGTGTGGAAGCTGCCTCGACTGTTCAGAATCTTTCAAACCACATAGCTTGACAAAAACAAAACTATTGACTTTCTGTTCTCCCAGTTTTGAGCTTGTCAGCTACTTTCACATCACATCTTTTCATGTTTATTCTTTCATCAAAAGACAAAGCTCTGCAGGGCAGAGGCTTCAGGATGTTACTGTTGGTTCAACTAACAAACAAACTAACACCTCCCTCCTTCTGTGTGCTCCAGCAGGTGACCTGCAGCCACATGTTCGGCTCCAGCTTGCTGGGTCACATTTCGACATCACCCCACATGCCTTGTGGGGTGATGTCGATGTATGTTGTCGAAAGCTGTTTTTGCAGCTTTTCTTCACCCCATCAACAATCTCTGTCTGTCAATGAGAGCATGATCAGCTTGTACTTTCTGCTGTGTTGAAACCTACAACAAACTCACACACTGTTAAACACAATGCAGGCAAGCTCTCTGAAGTTTAAAAGCACTTGTTCTGCCAAATATTTTTGACATAGTGGATTACCACCAGCAGATTAAATATTTTTAATCTCATCTTTCATATCATGTATAGAAAAAGATTCATTATTTATTACGAATGATGATAGATCTTGCAATCGATCTCTATTTCTATGCAGCTTTTGAAAATAAGGTATATTACGTAATTCTCAATTTTTAGTGAAAACATGATTTCACTGCAAGTGTAGCTTTTACAACGTACTTGCAGATGATATTAATCTCTGATGTGAAATAAAAACACTCAAAAGTTTAAGAAGCATATATTACAACTTAAAATGCTGGAGACAAATTAATATTTGGTTCTGAATTCTGAAGTAGTCATGTGAACTAAACATTAGGACATTAATCGTGAGGTTACCATTTTATCTGTTATTCATCTGGGTGTTTTGGGGGGAAGGATGGATAATTATAGTTGTTCAGTCTGAAGTGAATACGTCCATTTCATTTTTGTTAAATGTGTAAATATTGTAAATTTGATAGAGACATTTAGTGGTTGGCTAAAGCACGTTTATTGGTTTCCTTTTTTGAGAATATCAAGACTTATGATATCTGCCAGATGTTTAAATGAGTTACAAAAAAGACACCTGCCTCAGTGTAAAAACTCATTTCTTGTAGAAATAACTTATTGGTTTGAATCTGACATTTGAATGTCAACAAAATAAACATGAACTGATTTTTTTGTCTTTTGTAAGATTTATTCTGACTATGATTGTTATTCTGAACCATTTAAGCATTTTGTTATGCTAAAGATGAATTGTTTTGGATAGTAGACAACTGAGAAGCTTGACCTCTTTATTCAACTCCATAAGACAATTTTTTGTACTGTGGTCTATAACTTAATGACAACAATCTTAATTTATTTTCAGGACTAAATAAAAAAAATAAAAAAAAAAAACTTGTATGGCATTTTGGAGTAGAATATATTCAGAAAACAGGTCATCAATGCAAGTTTGTTCTCTCCAGCACAGAGCTATAGTGCATTTGTTGAAAAGGTATCCATTTCCTGTGTGATGATAACCACTTTAATGAGATGAATCAAGCATCTGCATGCCTGCAAGTCTGCCACTGAAAACCCAGAACTTTATGACAAAACTATAAAAAATGGGTAAAAGGGTTCATACCTTACAGCTATCATTATCTCTGTGTTCTAAAGAAACCTATAATACGTGTTGAAATAGTTGATGAATAAAAAACATCATGGTCTTCCTTTTGTCCCTGACGATAGAGGATTATACCTTTTGCTACTGCTTGTGCAATTGTGTTTATCACATGAAGCTTGTTCCTATTTTTTGTAAAAAAAAAAAAAAAAAATGGAGCAAAGTGATTACACCCCTGTCATTTAGAAGAAAGAAGAGATGACATCTTGGCTCTAACACAATATCTCAGTAATCACGTCAAAAAGCTGCTTTGGTTCAGGGTGTTTTAAAAGAATAAAAAATGGGAAGAAAAAACAGGTCTGGTGCATATTTCTATAAAGTCAAATTGGGATTCATCTGTATATCTTATTTCTGTAAAACGTATTCTATTTCTCAACTAAAAATATAATATATACATTAATTCTATTGTTTGTCTCTGTACAAACAATAGAGTTAATGCAACACTATAGTTTGTATAGATATGTTGTCTCAGAAACTTTGTTGATTTCGTGCTACCTTTTGTAGAAAAGTACAGGATACATGAGGACACTAAGATACAAGGTTGACTGAATAAGATTTTATCATAGCAGTTTCTTTTTCCTGATTTACATGCCAGGTGTCTTTCAAATTTGCATGGCAGTTATCAAAGAAGGATGAGTTACATTTTCACTCCTGATCATGTAGGGGACAGAGCAAACATGAAGAAGAAGGTGCTCTGGTCAGATGAGTGCCTACAAAATAATCTGCAACGCTCCATCCCCACATAGTAGCTGAATGTGAGCATATGCCACATTTTCATATTTTTATTTGTGAAATGATGAACTGCTTACAGTGGATTTTTTTACGTGCTAGGAATTACTTTCTGTTTACCTCTTTAGAAAATGACAGATTTGTTTTTCCATACTATCCCTCATTGTTTTTAGTGTAGTCATTAATGCATCCTCTTCTGTATTTGCATGATTGTCAAGTTCAATTTCCTTTGTATCCATTACAAAAAACAACACCTTTAGGCTTTACACTGGTACAATCTGTGACAGTAATGAGTTTGTGATGGAATATTAGGCCATGAGGGATGAGGAGCATTCACTTGGTGTTTCCCATCTTTTGAATACAAAAGATGGTTTACACCTTTCATCTCTGCTGGGAATCACAGAGAAAAATGACCCCAAACTGTCATTCTAGACAATTAGGTATTACAGTAAGGATTAATGGCAGGTGGTCCCAGTCAAATTAGAAATTGTAAAACAAAAAACAACAACAACAAAATCATGCAGATCATCAACATTACAGGCCATGTTCAAGTTCTCTTGTGTCTAAAAATGTGACACAAGGGAAGAGTTGTTAAGCGACTGCAAACATTAATGATACAAGGAAGAATTTCTAACCAAATGTTAAAATGTTTTTCATTAAATATGTTGCTGATTTGGATCAAAAATCTAAAAAGGTTCCAGTATTATATATATATAAAATAAGCTTTTTTTCAGCTGTAAAGAACTTGTTATAATTTCCCTGAATTCCTACGTTATAGGTTTGATCCAAATTATCAGGCACTGGTTAAACTCACTGTTTTCTGTGAAATAGCTTGGGTCATTCACAGCTGTGTGGGAGAGCCAGATTTAAATCCAACATATTACGCAACGTACTGTGCTATGAAAAAGTAGTTTTCCTGTTATAAATTTAATTTTCCTTTTTGCTTAAATGGTTGCCAAAAAATTTAAACATTGGGCAAAGATAATCATACTAAGTCTATAAAGAACCTACAAGATTATGAGTTTATAAAAGAGCAATCTAAAGAAGCCAGACCCTGTGGAAATATAATCACTCCCCTTGGTAAATGAATCAGAATGAATGGCCCCATTTTTTCTTTCGACAGCTATGTTCAACTTCATTAGCCTGGCCCAGGGCTAACTACTGGTAAACCTGCACAATCAAGAACTCAGATGAACAGAATCTTCTTGGCGACATGAAGTAGAACATGAAACATTTAGTAGATGGATACCAAATTAACGTATCTCTTGTTTTATGAGGAGCAAACAATTTGAGCACAAGTAAAGAATTTTTAAAATTGATTCTGGTTTCTACAGGTTGCAAGTCCAAAGTTGTATGCATTATGCTTAAACCTTTCATTGCCTGTGTTTTATAATAACTGTAATGCTGAATTTAAAACACAGATAAAGTGGCCAATACAATAATCCAGCCCACTTGTGACAAATGCATGATTTATTCTTTACTCATGATTATAAATAACTTTTAGCTTTTTTTTTTTTTTTATCTAACAAAAGGCAGATTTGGTAGTAAAGCTTATATGGTTTTGGAAATTTTGATTATTATACCCAAATGTCTTGCATCAACCAGAATGCAAAATAACTTCTAAAGCAGATTAGGCTTCAATTTTCTCTCATAAAATAACAGTTGAGGATTACACAATAAGCAAGAAACAATATAAAATTTTATAATATCAGGGACAAAACCACTTCCGTTGTTTCTCACATTTGTCAGCAGTCACAATTATGGTAGTTCTGTGATAGTTTGAAGACTCTTTTCTGCTTCAGGGCCAAGAAAATTCACCTTCACTGATGAAATCATGAATTTTACACTAGAAAAATTCATGAAAAAGGTTAGTTACAGTCAGCAGATCACAACATCAGGCTTGAACACATTTGGGTTATGTAAAATGAGAGTGATGTGGAGCTTCATTGTCTGTGACCTTGAAAAAGCCAATCATAGTGTAAAACCTTCCAATTTTGCTAAATCAGAAATATTCTCACATAGAAGACTGGACCAGAGTTCCTCCACAAGGAATTTAAAGACTGATTGCCAGTTATTGCCAACAGTTGAAAACAGTTTTTGGCGCCAATTGTTGCACAACCAGTTATTAGAGTTATGGGGCAATTACTTTATGACACAAGGCCAAGAAGTGAAATGATCAATTGAAAACTGCTTGCTTTCTTCACTCAGACTGGCAAGGTCTGACAATAATAATATTTAAAAATAAGATCTTAGGAAAGTAAAAGAGCTAGAAGTAACTCAACAATAATGAGGATCAGAAACTGACTGATTCAAGTAAATATTGGGATTATCCAGATTTTGTCCAGCATTCATGTTTTACTTCAAGAAGTTAATGTTTCAGCATATCATTTTGGCTTCTTCAGTTGTTTGGGTTAATGCTAATGAGTGCATAATAAACACTGTTCACAGTCATCAAAATGTGACTCAATTGGTTCAGCTGAGTGTGTGGTTCTCTGCTATAATTATTGTAATTTTTGTGTACCTAACGACTGTTTGGTTACTCCTGGTTGTACAATAATTTTCCCATCAGGCATAAAATAATTGAAGCCACTGATGATTCTGTAAAAACAAACAAATGCCTGATTATATAAGCTCATAAAGAGGTCTTCTTTCTTTTAAACAATAAATGAAACTTTGGGTGATATTTGGGGGATAGGGATGGACAAGTTGCTCTGTCTTGTTTTCTGACAAAAATGCCTTCAAGCACTCTGTTCTCACTTTATTACTTTTTCCTGCATGATTCTTATTAGTTCACAGCTCTGACCTTTGACTTCTGAGCGAATGACTCCAGTTGGCAGTAAGATTTATTCTCCTGTTGACTTTCTCAAAAAGATGACATTGCAACCACTTTGACAGTAAAATCTTAATGGTCAATTTTCCATCTCTGTTTTTGTTCAATTAAACATTTGGGTCATGTTTTAAATAAGTAAAAGATGTTTTTTGTTTCCACAACATAAAAACTTAACTTTTTTTTTGTTTTACTTTCACAGTCACTGCCATTGTTGGAGTTCACTGAGATCAGACTTCTTGGATTAAGTTAGGATGAGGTTATGACGCTAACCCCTGTCTGGAATTAGAGAGGGGCGTGGCATTCACTTTACCTCTCTCACACCCACAGTAAGTAAGGCTTTAAATTAAGCTTTGAGGTTGTACTGCAATAAGTCTCTGCTTTTCTGGTCCAAAAGGAGTTAACAAACAGCCCGAGCTTAAGGCATCCAATCAACTCCTGAGCATCTTTACAACTCAATTTAATGTATTTGATTTTCATGTAATTTTTTTTTTTTTTTTTTTTTTTTTTTTTAGGTTTGGATGACTCTTATTTTGGAATTCTGTGCCTTCGATTTTCTTCTGCTCTGATAAACTCTGCATAAAGAAGCCACAGAATGTTACTGTCTACACAATATCTTATGAACTGTGAAATTGAAAATTTCAGGAAAATAGTCCAGGTAGGAAAAGCCTGTCAGGTGCTTCATCATGCTATCAGGATGGCTCAATAAAGCTTTGCAGGTCATACATCAAATCTGAGTCAAGCAACCTGTGCAGAAACAAATATGACAGGTTTTAGCATTAACTTGGCTCTTTTATATGAAGCCTTAAGCATATCATATCAATACAAACTCCAAAGATCAAATGTTTTGAGGACTAGAATAACTATATTAAGCTCTTGGGTACACAGTTTTACGAATGCCAAGGCAAATGATTCTGATGATTCTGATTTCTCAGAATTATGACATGGAATGACTCTTTTAGCAATAAGTTAATTAAAAGTTACATTGTCCCTGAAATGCACCACACACACAAGAAGTGGAACATTAATAAACCACATAATTTACATGACATTATGGCTATTAAGATTATAAAATTAGAGGACTATTAGGGGACCCCTTGCTTGGTTTTGGGCACTTGAGAAGGGAGAATATTATGATAATGGAAAATAATAAAAATAGCAATGAAATCATGAGTCAGTAGAAGTCTAATGATTGCATTATGTTCTCTTTACACTGTGCCATCCTACACACAGTAAAGAGCTGTTGGCTACTGGAAGCAATAGGGTAAACATGTCAAAAACAACTTAAGACTTGAAACTCATCCTGAGCCAATATCCTTGGTCCCAAAGTGGTGTCAGAGATGGATCAGTTTCATATTGTAAGAGTGGACACCGAAACGGCTGGTCTGCCGGTTTGAGACGTTTCTATCACGTTTAACAATCCAAACCAGAGCAGCATAAATAGGGGGTATCCTTTATGGCAATACAATTTTATCTCTGTGTGAAACAGCTGTCTACAGAGCTGGGTCACATCAAGTGAAGGGTGAGGGGTTGAGTGAAAAGGTCGAAGATGTTCCTTTGAGTTAAATGGATCCCACACACAAATAAGCACCCACGCCCAGTCTCACAACGAAGGCCATAATTACAGAAAGGGTCAAGAAATGCCTCTGCAGGATTCCCAGTTAGATTCTCTATCATTCATTCAGACAATTTTGACAACCAGAATTGAGCAGGTGTGGTTGGGGTAGACACAAGTCTAGTTTTAAACTACTGAGGTTTTCACTTGACTGATTAAATATCTCCAATTTAGACAGAAACACAGGTCAAAAGTCCAGCGGGTTCATCTGATGGTGCATTGCTCATTCTACTGCTGGCAGCTTTGTTCATTCTTTATCCACATCTGGACTTTTTTTTCCAAAAATTATAACAACCACATTGTCTGCCATCAACCAGTTTTAGTTTTCCCTTAAAATCATGTGTGAGGCTAGTAGAAAACTCTTTGTAAACACAGTGGTCTGAGCAAGTTAGTTGTAATATTTAAACAATTATAAAAACATTTTGTGAAATTCCATAAGTCAGTCTATAACCAACTTATCTAAACTAAATTAAAACTGTGATTTATTCTTCAAAAAGCTAAACAAAGCAACATAGGGAATTTCTTACAAAAGATGTTTTAGCAAAAAGAGCAATTTGTATCAGGAACATCGTTTGTCGATATTAAAGTCCTGAGTTGACCATATTTCGAAGGTCATCTGATTTCCCACTCATCACACACACACTTCTGTTAATGTGTGTGTGCGATGCAAGAAGACATTGTAGGAAAGTGACAGAAGGCAGAGAATACACTTTCACCTCAAGGCCAAACCAACTTCTGAATTGAAAACATGGTTCATCTTCTCTTGTCGCTGCAAAAGTTTGGGCATATGCTCCAATCTGATTGAGCAATTCAGTTTCTCACAAAGTGAACCAGGTGAAAGTTGAAAAATGAAAAGCAAGGAGAAAGACGTTTTAGGTGAGTGGAACTGCATGTGCTGACTTGCATAAAACATGTCAGAGCTCTTCACTGTTCTCATGCAAATGTCAGGTTTAAAGTCTGTGTTGTTTGTGGAGTGACCTAAACATCCCAAATTATTCACTGAAAAGCATTTTGAAGAGAAACCAACATGTTCGGTTGAGTGACATTTTAAAGGTTTTGCTCCACTTGTATATCCACTTATACATTACTACTATTTAGCAGTAGTAATGTAATAATAATGTAGTGGCTTTCTTCAAAATGAACAGTGTGAATTGGAGTGTAGCAGTAAACTTACCTGAGGTCCAGTTAGGAGACTCTTCCAGGAATACTTTCCCCCTTGCAAACGCTTCAGGAACTTAAAGAAAACTCTGAAGGCATTGTGACAACCAGCATACTCCCACAGAGCTATTCTGTGCAGTCCTTTGAGAAAATGAAATACACTCACGTAAAGTTGTTCAAGTTGGTGTTAGCTCCTTCAAAGTTGCTGCAATGGAGAGCTACTGCGACATCTCAAAACCTCCCTCAGGATCTCCATCCACTCCACCCACTTTTGACTGTCCCTCCTCTCACACACTCACACACACACGCACACGCACACTCCCTCCATGTGCCCAGATTGTGGGCCTCCTGCTTTTCTTGCCTGTGGGCTCAGACCTTTGGGCCAAATCCAAATTCGTCTTGCTTATGTGGATGTGTACATACCAGGCCTGTGCATGTGTATGTGTTTATGTGTCTTTTTGCATTTCTCACCTTGTAATTCCCTTTTTTCCGACAGTTAATATGTGTGTGTAATAGTTTCTTAACAAGAAGTCCACTGTATTGCATTATTGCACAATGTAAAAACACACTGACCTTGTGTGTGCCTTTACAAGTTTTTTTTTTGTGTGGTTTTGGGAACTGACGGGATGCCGCCATCCTTGCATTCCCTCTGTCCAACCACAACATTTGCATCACTTTACTCTAAGACCATGGGAGTATTAAAATGCTATATTCCTCTGAAATAAAAATAAAATAATAATAAAAAAAACACTGTTTTTTTAACCTAACTGTATTAAGATAATAGGGATGGGGGATGTTCACTGATAAATTAGCCTTTAGCTTGAAGTAATGAGTGCTGCCATATTGCAGTGTGAATGGATCACTTTCTACGTTGTGCAGTACGATGATTGTAATGGAAGAGGTGTTGTTTAATTCAGCAAGAATGAACTGTGTGATCTGGTGAACGGATCCTTTTAATATACTTTTCTAGAGATTCAGTACACTCAAATTATCTGCCGTCACTAGTTTGCAAACAACTTGGTGAATTACTGCCACCTTAAGTTTACAAATGGATAATTAGCAGGTGAAAAGAGAAAAACAATGATTATAGCAATGTATTTACCAGTTAAAAGTGTTTTCCTATTGAGAAATAGGTTTGTAGACTGTACACACATAAAATCATACTAAGACATCAACACATTGTCAAAACAATAGTCTATTTTGTAGCAATTAACTGTTTGAATACTCTGTACCTTTTGTATAGCAGTCTTAATTGTAAATAATTTAATTGAGAACTAAATTAGGCAAAATGGTTAAGTACTGTCCTGCAAAACAACTAAATTATTTACCAAAGTATTTTCCTTTTAGCTTATAAACACAAAAATATAGAAAAATCCACCTTCCCTTGTTGAGTCACTACTTTGTCAGGCAAAAGAGACTGTATTGGAAGAAGCAATAATAAAAATTGTGCTATTTGTTCACAAAAGTAAACTTTTAATGGAGGCCACACACAAAGTCATCTTTTCTGAACTGATGATTGTGGGTATTATTACTATGATTAAAACCTAAAAAAGAAGGGGGTTATTCACTGTTTGTCTGTGTTTGCAACAGACTCATCAGGCTATTGTGTTTCTGTTGTGTAAACCCTGCAGGTTAGCATTTTACACACCTCTTTAAGTCCTGGCTCAGGGCCATTAATGGTTGGGAAGAAGGGGGGAGAACAATGGATTTTGTGGGAGGCTCGTCTTATTTATCATGTCAGGCTCAACAAGCATTAAGTAATTTTGTTCATATGAAGACCCGAAAACCTGAATATCCACTAACAATGACCTACAATTACCACTGATTATGTTCTCTAGGTCTTATGTCCTAGAGAAGAAAAACTATTTTAGATCTTTTGTGATTCCTAGAAAAAAATAAATTTTGTGACTAGTAGCCGAATTATGTGTATAATTCTCATTGCGTCAATGGACTAAAAATTAAATGCTTGGTTTATATAGAAGGTGTCCTTCACAACAAGTGTAAAAAAGTTAGAATGTATGACATGACCTCAAAAAAGTTACTATGATTTTCAGTTTTCAGCACTAAAGAACTGTCCAATTTTATGAAACATCAAAAAAACAGTTTTGGGTCATTTCAGAAAAAAAAAAATTAAAACAAATCAGATCAAATGTCGTAATCAATTCTTGGTCCTAAATAGTAAAGAAAACTGGAATAAGATTCTTCTTTTCACAGTGTTATTCTGCGGGATGCAAAAAGAGAGTGGATTTTGTGTTAACTTATCAACGACAGAAGAGACAAATCTGAAAATCATTTTATCTTTAAGCGGTGGGTTTTATTCCACTAATAGAAGTTTTCTACATAAAGAGGCTGAAAACAACCAAAAGTAGAATCAACCAAGCAAGTTCATCACAGTTTCAAGTTGAAGTCTTGTCCTTCAACTATCCTGAATTAAAAAAAGATATAGACGGTGTAGTTTTTTGTGATTTGAAACAAAAATTGATGTAACAATTCTCAATACCCTGGAAAAGAAAATATAATACAATCTCCAGGAACGAAGAAGTTCATGACCAAGAAAATGCAGAAACATTACTTTCAAGTTTAGCTGTAAGAGAATGAAGGTGAGAAAGGAGATATAGAAAGGAATCGAAATTAAATTCACACCACTGGTTAACAGAGATGATAATTATTTCTTTGTTCCTTGTTTCTGTGTGAACTAAAATTGGAATCGATACTCAGCTTATATCAAGAAACCAATTGACTAATGTGACACATAATTTGTTTCAGTGGGGACATATATAAAGTAAGCATAACATAGGGTTTGAGGAACCTTGAGGAAGTCAATATGACAGAGTTTTCATTTTCATATTCATGGCCCATCTCACCCCAGTGGCTTTGAACAGTGTTTTATTCACACATTTCAAAGACAGTAGGCTTCAGAGAAAGCTTTTCCCGTTAATGCAAAAATTAGAATGTTTTGCCAGCACAGGATGTGGATGAAAGTGTCTCCCATCTCGAATCTCATCAGTGTCACCAAAACAAAAGCTCCACTATTTTCCATAGCAAAAGGAGAAAAAAGAGCCCTAAAAAAGTGAAAATGTTTAATAAATGTCTTTACATTCCTCACAAGGTCAATTGATTCAACACTCCCCAATGACAATACCTATGAACTGTTTAGTGACAATTAACATTTAACGACAGACAATGCTAAACTCTAGGGTTTCTTTTAAACGTTTGCAGTTGAAAAACGTGGTGGGAAATAAAGTGGGAAGGACAAATTAATAAATAAAAATTAAATGTAATTTAATTGCCAATGTTTTTCTTCATGGAAACAAATTGATAAAGCACAGATCTGGAGACCAACTAAAGACTGAGAATGACAAACAGTTTGTGAATTACAAGCTGACGAAGAAAGAATGGCAATGAGAGATGTTAGAAAATTGTTGGGAGAGTGGGTATAAACAAAAACAAAATGGAAAATGGGAGAGAGGAGAGCAGGCGTTGATGAGAAATCAAGCTGTGTCATGAAGATTGAAAATGTGGATTACAAAGAGGTGGACAGAGAGGAGATGATGGTAAAGGAGAAGAGAGGAAGACAGATGAGCAGGGGAAAACAAGGGAGGAGGCATGATCTAGAAATAAACACCAACAGAAGGTGGGCACGAGGCCACCGGCAGCAGGTGAACCTGAGCCGAGAGCAGGAGAGCCTGGAGGAAATGAAGGCTCAAATCCACCTTATACTACCTGCTGCTGCTATAGCATGCTGCTGACTCCATACTGCTCAACATTTGCATCTACAGTGGGGGTCGCTCAGCTGATTGTTATGTTCTTCTAACTGACTTACAGTTGGATAAAATGTCACCGATGTCTTTTAAAGTAAATGTCAGATTTATGCCTCAGCTACAGCTTCACAATGATAATTCGATGATTGAACCAAACCAGACTATGATATACATAAAAACATTTTTTGACATGTTTGAAGGGAATCATGTTTTTCTTTTCTTTGTGTATGTTTGCTGTGGAATACATTCTTTTCCTTTGCTTAATGTGGAAGTAAACAGCAATTTGAATTTGTTAACTAGACGATTGAATTCAGGCATCTTTGAAATGTCGACAACCTGGACCTGAGCTACGCAACACAGTAAAACTGCAGAAGTTTTAATGCCACCCAACCACAATGCTACTGCCATAGTTATTTAATTGGTGACAGTTTGTTTGTAATTGAAGTGCAGAGCTCAGGCTTTATCTTATATTAAATGTTAAGAACTACAATGTTGTTTTACCACATGATAGGACAAGTATATAGACAAACAAAACAATTAAAAACAAAATGTTTATCTTTAACACAAATAGCCCCAGAATCCCGGGTGAAGTCCTTTCAATACTTTGCCAAAATGGCACCAGTCCCCAATTCATGTTTTGGGGTTTCTAAGTCTGAAATTTAATCTTCAAGATTTATTTTTTGTACACTGCATTTTAGTTTATTTGTTCAACTGTAAAGAGCTCTTGTAAAAGTGACTTTTTCCCAGTTTGCTGTCAAATAGCTGAAGAGGAATATTTGTATACACTCCATTTGGAAATACTGATCATATTTTGGTTAAATGTTTATACTTACATTTTTCCTATACAAAAAAAAATATTTATGATATATGAATGCATGCATGCATATTTTATATAATGTTTGATCTAACAACAAAATAAAAAAAGGTCTATCACTGCAGCTAAAATTGATTTCTGGCAGGCAGGACTCAGAAACATATTGGGAAAGCCGATCAGATATTCATTATTTTCCTGTATAAATATGGACTCTGGTGGCAGCAGGTCTTAGTTATGATTCAGATAAACAATGTGACTCAATTCAAAAGCCACTGTTTTACTCAGGTGCCCACAGAGACCTCTACACAGATGCATGCAGTGTTGCATGCATGCAAATTACTTTGGAATTGGGAATTCCAAAGTAATTTGAATAATTACAGATTTTCCTCCATAATTAAAAATCCTGAATGATAAAGCAATGAGCTCCCGAAGTAATTAATTGGAATAACTTTTTATTGACTAATTTGTTTGCATTTTCTCATAATTCAACTCAAATTCATTTTTAAAGCATATTTGTAAAATAACTCATGTGGCTCAAAGTGTAACAAAATCTCTGCGTTAGTATGGAAAAGCACCACACCTGACACTTCTTTTAAACTAACAAAAAGTTATTGAATATGAGTC